GTTCTACCATACTTTTAAATAAGCCAATTCAATCTAATCAAATCATAAAAATTCACAACTACTGAAAATTATACCGAGTTTTTTATATTGCATATTGAATTACAAATATAACTAGTTTTAATACTTATTTTTAAAAAACCTTTATATACTTAGCGTATATTTGACGCCGTGGATGACCACAATCAAATTGCCTAGGTATAATTATAAATAGTGAATATGTTTAAATGAACTGAAGTGAAATCAATGATGAACTGAGCACGAATATCTATATCATGAATTAATATTTACCTCCTGTTCTTTGATTTCTTAATTCATTTTCCTTTCTTTCAACTTCAGCGTCGAAAACAATAAAGTCATCTAATGCATTACCACCTGGAACCATTGGTAAGACAGGAACCTTCTTTTCAACAATAACTTCTAATAATACAGGACCTGGATAGTCTAAGAATTCCTTGACACCACTCACTAATTCTTCTTGAGTAGAGATCTTAATACCTTTAACACCCATGGCTTCAGCTAATTTCATAAAATTTGGGTTGGACTGGTGTGTGTGTGAGTATCTATGTTCGTAGAATAATGATTGCCATTGAGTAACCATACCCTGTTCTTCGTTATTTAAAACACAGACCTTAATTGGAGCATTGGCTTGAACTGCTGAAGATAATTCAGTCAAAGTCATATTGAACGAAGCATCACCATCGATATCGATAACCATTGCATCTGGCTTAGCAACTTGGGCACCAATAGCAGCTGGTAAACCATAACCCATAGTACCTAAACCACCGGATGTGATCATAGTTCTTGGCTTAGTCCATGTGAAATGTTGAGCAGCCCACATTTGATGTTGGCCTACACCAGTTGTAACATAAACTTCCTTGTCGTATGTAGAGGATTGTTTGGAGATCTCCTTGATAAGAGTTTGAGGTTTGATTAATGAACCTGGAGTTTCTAATTGGTAGGCATATGGATACTTTTCTTTCCATGCTTGAATTTGGCTCATCCATTCTGGTCTTTCCTTGACAGCATCGACTAATGGAATAAACTTGCTCAAATTGTTAGTGACATCACCTTCAACAGCCTCGGTGGCTTCAACAACCTTATTTATGTTCTTTGGAGAAATTTCAAAATGAATAATACCACCTCTATTTTCAGAAGCAGCTAATTTAGCAGCAGGAGCAAATTTGCTGACATTACCAGTAACTCTATCATCAAATCTTGCACCTAAGGCAATAATTAAATCAGCGTTTTGCATAGCAGTATTTGCAGCTGCATTACCGTGCATACCTAACATATCTAAAGACTTTGGATCCCTTTGATCAAAAGCACCTAAACCTTGTATAGTGGTTGTGACTGGAATACATGCCTTATCGGCTAATTCTTTTAATAATGCTGGTCCTTGCTCGTGATTCAAAATACCATTTCCGACGTAAAGGATTGGTCTCTTGGCAATATTTAAGAGTTGTGCGGATCTTCTGATACTTTCCATGGTGAACTCTGTGGCAACTTTCTTGGTTATTTGAGTTAAGGCGTTTGATGGCAAGGTAGTATTTATTGGGATCGATTCTCTTAAGATACCTGCAGTGACATCCTTTGGTAAATCAACCAAAACTGGACCTGGTCTACCGGTAGTAGCAATTTCAAAGGCTTCATTTATACGTCTTGGTAATTCAGCAATATTCTTGACCATAACGTTCCATTTAGTACATGATCTGGAAATACCGATAACATCGGCTTCTTGGAATGAATCGGTACCAATAGCAGTAGTTGGAACCTGACCGGTGAAAACAACTAATGGAATACCATCGGCCAAAGCATCGGTCATTGGAGTAATAACATTTGTAGCACCTGGACCCGAAGTAACTAAGACAACACCTGGCTTTCCGCATGCTCTAGCATAACCTTCAGCCATGTGTCCAGCACCTTGTTCGTGTCTTGGTAAAACGAAGTTAAACTTATCAGAATTGTAGATAGCATCGAAAACAGGCAAAATGGCACCACCAGCGTACCCAAAAACGGTATCAACCTTATGTCTTAACATCATTTCGTGGAAGATTTCACCACCGGTCAATCCAATAAATGAGTCATCCATGATCGGATATTGGTTCTTTCTTGCGACGTTTTTCTTTAATTCAGAAGCTCCACTTCCTGGATCCTGTTGGTCAAATGAAGGTGCCGGGGTAGGTCTTGTAGTGGCACTCATAGTTGCTTTCAGAAAACTGGTCTTCTTCATAGATCTAACCTGGCTAGTAGCCATTCTAAACGCTCTTTGGCAAGATGTTGCCTTTATATTACGAGCAATCATTGTTGGTAATTGTTTCTTAAAAACCTGTTAGTTTAATCTTCGAAAAAAGAACCTAAAGCTATTACAAGCGAAAAAAGACGTATTAAATGGAGTCGAATATGTGATTTTTCAATGAGTCAGTTGACCTTTTTTCAGCGAAAATGTTTTTTGCGCTCGAGCGGAAGCGGGATAAATCTCCATTTCTTTTCTACAATAATATACAGGAGCCTATTGCAACTGTTAAACCTTTATATTTTGAATATTTATGTATTGTACGAAGTAAATAAAATGACAGAAATGTATATGAATGGATTGAAATAAAGATGCAATAACCTACTCCTCGATGACCTCTTTCCTGGCATCATTAGCAGTATTATAATTTGGCGATTCAGGAACTTGGAATTCGTGTTTTTCGGAGTTGTGATTTTGGGATTCAAGCTTTTCCTGGATGCTCGATTCATCCTGTTGAGCTGTCGAAGCTGCCGAACTACCAACAGCCTGGAAAACTTGAGGGTTCGAAGGAATTCTTTCCATATTTTCCTGAGATGGACAAGAAATTGCGTTCGGGTTGATGCTTGGATTGCCCCAGTCTAAGAAGTCTCTTCTGACTTCAACATAATCATAGGCAAATTCACCTATTTGATCTTCATCCATGCCAATTTCTTCAGCGTTGTAATCTATTCTTAATTGCAAGCCCGGTATTTTGTTGATGACGAAGCATAACACTGCTGTGACACCGCCAGCGTACGCTGCGGTGGCCAAAATGTAGACGATTTGAATGTACAATTGTTTATAATTGTGGTCAATCCAACCACCGGCATGTTCAGTTACTCCATCGTAGCCGATAACTGTGGAACTTCCAAATAATGCATTGAAAATTAAGCCCACAATACCGGCGATACCGTGCTCAGCTAAAACATCTAGCGAATCGTCGACTCTGCAAAGGTATTTAATTTTGGTCGAAAAGTTACAAATGATACCAGAAACAATACCAAGAATGACTGAGGCCCATAATGGAATCATACCTGATGAAGGAGTGGCGGCCACTAATCCAGAGATACACCCTGAACAAACTGCCACCATGGACCACTTATTTTCCAATCTGAAATCAAGCAAACACCAGGTGATTGCGCCAAATGCACCGCATAAATGGGTATTGAACATGGAGTATGGAACTTTTATGGATGCATTTCCGCAAGAGAACCCATTGAAAAATAACCAACCAACATAAAGTAATGAGGTACCCATACAAATGGTGGAAATGTTATGTGGACGATAATTAATCATTAGGGTCTCGTTTCTTCTACCTAAGAATGCACTGAAAACGAATGCTGATACACCCGATAGTATTTCTACTGGGCCACCACCGGCATAATCCAAAGCACCTCCACGCCATTGTGAGGCCCATCCGCCTCCCCAAATCCAGTAAACTACTGGGCAGTAGACCACTGTTGCCCAGCAAAACAAAAAGATAGCTGTTGGTAAGAATCTTCCTCTTTCACCAATACACCCACCAGCTAAAATAGCCAAGGTAACCAACAAAAATTGCATTTGAAATAACGCAAATGCAATCTCTGGGTAGTCCGGCGTACCTTCAGCACTGCCCAAGAGATTTTTGAATCCAAAGAAATGCAAATCCCCTATAAAGTTATTTGTAGACTTGTCAGAAAATGCTAATGAGTATCCCCAAAAGTACCATTGGAAGCATCCAATGAACGAACTCATCAACACTATCCATATCATCGACAAAGCACTTTTCCGTCTGGCTAACCCTGAATATAAAAATCCTAAACCTGGTATCATTATCCAGATTAACGACGAAGCGATCGAGAATAATAATATGTCACTTTCATTATAGTTTTCATTTGCTGTGAATAACTTTCTTCGATTTAATATTCCTTCTGTTACAGATGAAATTGTCATAGGTTAATATTTTCGCAGCTTGTATTACTAGGTCCACTAATGAATTAAAAATCAATCGTCTAAAATATAAAAGTATACAAGTAACTTTTTGGAATATCAAAAATTAATAGTGCTATAACTAAAGAATTACCTGTTGAAAATATCTTCGAAATTGGTATATATTTATTCATTTTATTGCCCTGCCCTATTGAAAAAAAGAAAATTTTGCGTATGTCATTATTGCACCGTTAAGATAGGAAGGTTACACAAAACTCATAGTTAACGACCAAAAGTCGCATGGTTATGATCGAAGCGCCTTCGATATTCGTTATCAGTGAATTTAACAAATCACATCAAGTTTGCTTTAAGCCCAGATTTTTTCCCCAGTTTTGGTTTTTTGATCAATTTAACTGGATTGATATATAATAAAGAGGGCTGGAAACCATGGCCATATACTGGCTTTACTACATTCTCTGGCATTCGAGTATTATCTTGCTATATATTCAGCGATTGACATAAGTTCGCTTGAACAAGCCGCACTGATAAGTGCGTACTCGAATTTTATTGGTTGGTGCGCCTGATGGCGGAACAATTCGTTACAAAAGGAGAACACGTCGTGACTCGATCGTTCCTATATTTTCCGAGGACAAGAAAAAATATGGCTGCGAAATTGCTCACAAGTAGATTGGCTTATGAAATACGTGACATAAATAACTAACTAGACTAATAACGCGAGAAGGGAGAATAATAGCATCATCCAAGAACATCTTTTTGAGTGGGATAACGCTTCGTAAGACGAAAATACGTATGGAGAAATATATAGAGATGAGGATGGGTATTCCTCGGAATGTGAAGGGGTTATAGATGCGGTGCTGGCTATGGAAAGCGAAGTAGTGGATGTATCAGCAACTCCGGACTGGGGTTGAGCGTGGGAGGACTCGACTATAGACGAAGTGGGTAAGATGTTTGGATGTCCACTTTGAGGCAATTCTGATGATGATACACCTGGAACATAAGTAGGGAATGTTGTCGTACAATTTTCTTCGCAAGTAATAGTGTCCGATATTGTTTCGGCCTCGGTAATTGGCGGAGTGTCACACAGAGCACACCCATTATTTCCCAGTGGTTCAGCATATGTAGTGGTACTGTCAGAGATTGACGGAACAGACTCTGATTTCTGGGAAGACTCACATTCAACACAAGAGATATACTTGCTGGAAATACTTGTCTCTGTTGTTCCAATGGCTGGTGGAATGGACGTTGACAAAATCGAAGAGCTTGAACAGTTGTGGCAGGTAATTGTTTCTGTGGTGCTGTTAACAGAGCTGGTCGTCTCTGTTTGAGTTTGTATTGATGGTGACGAGGTACATTCTATGCAAGAAATAGTCTCTGTTTCATGTAACAGTTCTGGGTGCCATGCTGTTGTTTCACTAGTGGAGGGAGCGACTGAAGTGGACAAAATAGATGAACGTACGCAGCTTTCACAAGACGTTTCGCTAGTTGCCTTTGAACTCGAGGGCGTGATATCTGTAGTTGATGATTCGATGCTAAAAGATTCAATTGTTGATGATTCGATGGTAGTTGATTCGATGGTAGTTGATTCGATGGTAGTTGATTCGATGGTAGTTGATTCGATGGTAGTTGATTCAATTGTTGATGACTCAGTGGTAGTTGATTCGGTGGTTGTTGATTCAATTGTTGATGACTCGGTGGTAGTTGATTCAATTGTTGATGACTCGGTGCTTGGCTTACTAGTTTCATGAGCACATTCTGTACAAACTGTTTTAGTCACTGTATTTGTATTTAATGTAGTCTCTGTATCTGTTGTAGATGTAGTCATACTTTGAGTACAAGAACTACTTATTTCATGAGTACTTGTCATTTCTAAGCTTGAAGATGACTCAATCGAACTAGATTCCTCGATATTTCCACCTGAAGAAGACACACCATCTACTACCCTTATTATTTTTGTGATCCCATCAATCTTAGAAGATCCATCTCCACATTGAATATTCTCAGCATATAAATGCTTAACAAAATCGGAATTATCTGGATACTTTTCAAATCCTTCAAGGAATACTCTGTAACCCAGAGGAACATTATTAAATGTAGCAGTAAGCTTTGTGTTGTCACTGGAGCATCTTATGGATCCCACACCGACAGATTTATAGCTCTTTGGTAAGTAGAAATCGTTCAAATCATTAGTGATCTTTAGCTTAAATTGAGAACAATCAACAGAGTTATTAGTTGTAAAAACGATAGAACCTGAAGTTATGCCTTCATTACAGGTTCCACTCAATATAAACACTTGTTCTAAGTCTTGTGGAGTTGATCTTGAATAGTATAATAACTCATCAGTCTTTTTGTCTCTAAAAAAAGGACCTGCTTGGAAATTGACATCCGATTCCATGTTGTTAAAGCTGATTTGATTATTACCTGATACAAATCTTTTGGCAGACAAAATGTCTGAGTCAGAAGAGGAACCACCAGCATTAAAAACAAAATCAATTTCTATTTCTCCGGTTGCAGTAAGCCCCTTTTTATCATCCACAGAACTTGTCATAGTACACTTGAAGTATGAAGTATCGCTATTAAATGACCCATCGTTTACCTTACAGCGAGCGTAGACGGTTCCGCTGGCTTTTAACAATATTTCGTCACTATCGAACTTCGTTTTGAATACATAAGGCATCAGGAAGAAAAAAATATCATTAGGTAAAACAGCAGCAGTAGAAATTTTCCAACCAACAGTAGCTTTTCTTATATCTTGGGGTCTATTCAATATTGAGGGATTAGTTATTTCCAAAGACTGCCAGATATTAGTGAGAGTTATAGCAGTAGCTGTTTCAAGTAAAACCAAAGCTATAAATAATGTATTAAAACTTGTTTTCATATTTATATTTGAACGAGAGAATGTAGTTGGTGCAAATAGTTATGATTTGATACAATTGTCAGGATGATCCATCACTTATATATACATATTCCTACACTATTTTTAAAGTAGTTCCAGATCTATGAAACAAGCCTCTCCAAACATTAACTATGAATATGTGTTCTGTTTTAATCTAGTGCCATGTAATATGGCTTTAAGTTATATGAAATTACTTAATTAGGTTATGAAAGGTTGCAACACAAATTTTTATATTTTCGCAAAATATGCAATTTTTCACAAACAAAAAATCACTCACCAACCTAATTGCCAAAGACAATTCACTATCAACACATTTCCAAACGCTCCATTCAAAAGCTTTCTAAGGCATGAATGAAGTACTTAGTTAGAATAATATTTGCATTTAATTTAAAAGAAATCCATCAAAGAAGTAAGAATCAATACGAGTTGTTTCAAGAAATGCAAGATTATTCGATTATGCACCTTCTTTTGCGATTATATTGCTTATACGGTAATTATTCTTAAAAATTACTGAAATTGGATGCCAATGGATTTATTGTTACCTATTAATCAACTAATAAAAAAGGTGAAAGCATATTTACAAGTAGGCAACAAGATTCACACAAAAAAAAAAAATTATAAAAGTAAATATTTACATGCATCATTAATTAGATTTATCATTATCGTTGTCATTAAGTTTATCCAAGTATCTTTCGTAAAAGTGGAAGGTTTCAAATCCAACTTCGACCATAATAAGAATAATGATTATCCACTCCAACCGGGTACTCTTCTTCTCATTTAAAACAGCTAATAGAGCACTCTGCTCTTCTGTAGCATAATCTAACTTCCTGTTTAAAATGGAAATTCTGGGAGAGATATCTAGATTACGTGAAATCAACTCGTAAATTCTCTCTAATGTAGGTTCTGTCCAATATAAATCTGGCGTTTCAATCAACTCTGAATATAAGTTTAATTTACCTCTCAATAAAAATAACCTCCCCGTCAATTTTAAAACATCCGATTCTGTAGTTTTTATCTGTTTTCCCTCGGACAAATATTCTGAGTTGACTCTAGTTAACTGAATGTGATCTTCTAATGCATTTTCCAACACAGATAACCGTGTAGACCGAGACAATCCTATAGCAAACGCAGCTTTATCCAACAAAATTTTGTCTTTATTAGTGCCTTGTATTACCATGATGTCTCCTTGCATATACGAATTGCCATTATTAGGCGAGTTATCAGGAAGATAATCGAGTTCCACCCAGTCGATTTCTTCACTCTCAGGCTCACATTTGTCACATATAGCTGGAAGCATAGTAGGCAAGATTTGCTTCATTATCACAGATTCGCTCAACCCCCATCCAACTATCGTACCGTTCGATAATATCATTAAATCTTTTCCATTGTATTTGACATTTATAACTTCGTCTGGCATTAGCACCGAGTACTCGTTTCGCCTATTTCCATCGGAGTCAAGCCTATTAAGCTCGTTCAAAATCACTTCAAAATCAATTGTCTCTCCAACTGTTATTGATGTTACCGGCGATAGATATTTTTCTAGCACTTCAACACTTTTTGGCTCGTTATTTTTATTCAATAACGACAAGATATACTGCGCTGTTTCCCGCTGCAGATTGGGACTCGACCGTCTTAAAGACTTAATCGAAGGTTTCTGTTTCTTGGTGCTCATATTGACCTTCTTATCTTTTCCATTGGAGAAATACCGTTTGCAAAAAGAATCGTTCCACATTGGACTCTGATTTATCTTAGGTATTCTTCCTATTTTCCATGCACTAAAACATCGTCTCTGAATCAATGTGCCTATCATTTGCTAAATTCTATACTAATAATCTTCACAATAATCTGCTAGGCGTTATCAGATCATCAGAGCTCTTCTTTGATACCTAATGTCTGAATATGCACCATTCTCATATATACTATTACAAAAGCCTCTATATAGGCACATTCCAGCACGTACCGAGATACGATCCCCACGTAAGCATTCTTCGCGGTTTGCTCTATTTACACCAGAAAAAAAGTCCGGTCTAGACTCCGTACCTGCAAAATTGACCTAAAATCTAATCGGGCTAAATTACTGCGTACTTTTTTTCATCTGGCCATATACTAATTACGGATAAATAATGCTATGCTGTTAATTTCATTTTATGTCGGCTTGCGTATTTCATTTTTAGCTGACCTTCGTACAAAGGTTCATTCTATATTGTTACAGCGAGGCTCTCGGGTGGTGACATAATGGCTTTCGAGTACCGATTCTTTAAATAGAAAAGATGGCCATCAGTTTGTTTATATTAGTACTAAATAGGAAGTGTAATAACGAGTAATCCTGATAGTAGGGGCGAAGGTTCAGTATACCCCTAGAAAACCTCTTCTAAAGGGGCGGGCGAAGGATGGATCGAGCCTCTCTTAAGACGAACATACCTATCATAGAATTCAATAAGCCTTTTCACAGGAGCTGCTTATATCCATTAAATGTCAAATTCGTATCTGATGTAGCCTTATTATAGTGGAGGGTTGTCTACGATGATTGTGGCTTTCATCGCTTACCAGAAACCGGACATTGTGGTCTGGGACAGGGAAGAAAACTGGTATGTTCATTCTATCCCGAAGAGACAGGGTTTTCTTTGTTTACCAAAAAAAATTAACCAAAATAATTCTATATAAAAGTCCACAAAACGCCATCATTGATGAATTGAAGTAGGTGGAATTGGAACATTTGGCCATATTAAAGAAGAAAACTTTCTCGATATATAAATAAGAAATAGACCAGTTGTGAATATATATTGGTTAGAAAATACATATATTACAGAATATTATATTACAGAAATTAAATAAATATGTGGTACGTAGTGATCTGTTCTTTTGATTCCCGTATTAGTGAAAAATGTATACTAACAAGCTTTTAGTGGTATTTTTGGTTATGTCAATTTTTTGGTAGACAAGTCCAGAGGAGAAATTGTGGATCATCTTATTGAAGGGCTTCAAAGATTAGAATACAGAGGGTACGATTCAAGTGGTATAGCAATTGATGGCAACAAGCAAGACGATGTCATCATTGTCAAACAAACCGGTAAGGTTTTGGCCTTAAAGGAAGAAATCGTCAAGCAAAAGGTTGACCGTAGTACCGTGTTTGAAAACCACGTTGGTATTGCTCACACCAGATGGGCTACCCATGGTCAACCAATGACCACTAACTGTCATCCTCATAGATCCGATCCTAAGTCTGAGTTCGTCATCGTTCACAACGGTATTATTACCAACTATAGAGCTATCAAAACTTTATTATTATCGAAAGGTATGAAATTTGAATCCGAAACTGATTCAGAATGTATCGCTAAGTTGTTCAAACACGTCTATGATTCTAACATGAAAGCCGGTTACGCTTTGGATTTGAACGAATTAACCAAGCAAGTCTTATACGAATTAGAAGGTTCGTATGGTTTATTAGTTAAGTCAACACACTACCCCGGTGAAGTTTGTGGTACTAGAAAGGGTTCTCCATTATTAGTTGGTGTTAAGACCGACAAGAAATTGAAGGTTGATTTCGTTGATGTTGAATTCCCTGAATCAAACCCAGATCAAGCTCCAATTTCTAACAACACTACTGCTCAAGATTTAGGTCTTTTGCCAGTTGCGCATGGTGAATCTAACTTGAGAACTTCTCAATCCAGAGCTTTCTTAGCTGATGACAACTTGCCAATGCCAGTTGAATTTTTCTTATCTTCTGACCCTGCTTCTGTTATTCAACACACTAAGAAGGTTTTGTTCTTAGAAGATGATGATATTGCACACATCTACGACGGTGAATTACATATCCACAGAGCTAAGAAATTAGCGGGTGATTCAACCATCAGACAAATTCAAACCTTGGAAATGGAATTAAATGAAATCATGAAAGGTCCTTACAAGCATTTCATGCAGAAGGAAATTTTCGAACAACCTGAATCGACTACTAACACCATGAGAGGAAGAATTGATTTCGAGAATTCGAATGTTTTATTGGGTGGTTTGAAATCATGGTTACCTACTATTAGAAGATGTAGAAGAATCATTATGATTGCATGTGGTACTTCTTACCATTCATGTTTAGCTACTAGATCCATTTTTGAGGAATTGACCGAAATTCCCGTCGCAGTTGAATTAGCATCAGACTTCTTAGATAGAAAGTCTCCTGTTTTTAGAGATGACACATGTGTTTTTGTCTCTCAATCTGGTGAAACTGCTGATTCTATCTTAGCTTTACAATACTGTTTAGAAAGAGGTGCATTGACTGTTGGTATTGTTAACTCTGTTGGTTCAAGTATGTCAAGACAAACACATTGTGGTGTTCATATTAATGCCGGTCCAGAAATCGGTGTTGCATCTACCAAAGCATACACTTCTCAATACATTGCCTTGGTGATGTTTGCTTTATCCTTATCAAACGATTACATTTCTAAGGCTAATCGTCATAAGGAAATCATCGAAGGATTGCGTAAAATCCCTGAACAAATTAAGACTGTTTTACAGTTGGAAGATAAGATTAAGCAGTTATGTGACAGTAACTTGAACGACCAGAAATCTATGTTATTATTAGGTAGAGGCTACCAGCATGCTACTGCCTTAGAAGGTGCCTTAAAGATTAAGGAAATTTCTTACATGCACTCTGAAGGTGTGTTAGCTGGTGAATTAAAACACGGTGTCTTGGCTTTAGTTGATAGTAAATTACCAATCATTGCTTTTGCTACTAGAGATTCTTTGTTCCCAAAGGTTCTTTCTGCTATTGAACAAGTCACCGCCAGAGACGGTAGACCAATTGTCATTTGCAACGAAGGTGATGATGTCATTGGTGGAAGCAAGGCATTGGCTACATTGCACGTTCCATTGACTGTTGATTGTTTGCAAGGTTTATTAAACGTCATCCCATTACAATTAATGAGTTATTGGTTAGCTGTTAACAGAGGTATTGATGTCGATTTCCCTCGTAACTTGGCTAAATCGGTTACTGTCGAATGATCTACCTCGTCGCACCTATTTATAACGATGCTTTTTTCTTGATTGTTACTTTACCCCTACGTTTATTAACATGGGTATTAGTTGTCGCCTAATCATATAATACCTTTATTTTATCTTGTTTTTATCCTTTTCTTGACTAAATTTTAATACAGACCGAATATACGTAATGAATAAATAATTTCTGTGTATTACGATACTATACATGCGTAGAGTAAATAACAAAGATTTCAATAATGCCCAAGTATTAACCACCAATAATATTATAATTTAAAACCCAAAGAATTAACTACCTACGCTTGAAGTAGTCTGACGATCCAAAGTATGTTGACGAGTAATCAAATATTCTTTCACCCAAATCTAAATATTTGCCCGCGTAATATTTAACATCTTCACTATTAGTAGCAGAGTCAAGGTTTGGCCTATATTAGTGTTAATCTACAAATCCATTATAGTAGTGTGCTAAAATAATGATACTTACGTTAAACCAGTATTTCTTTTAACCCCAGCTAAGAAAGCAGAAAACAATACCAAATCAGCACTGATATGAACAACTCTTCCAATCTATTGCCGTTAGTTCTACGCATACTAATAATCTATTAAGGTCATGTTGTGCCTTGTCTTTTCCCTCAACTTTATGTAAGCGATGTACATACCATTATAAGTTTAATAACAATGTTATATCAAATATGATTTGTGTTTATACTACATAGCTCACACTATCAATGGTTTTGGCTGGCAACCAAACAGGTTACCCGACATTGTCGCAATAGTCGAATTTTTTTGTTCGAAAGGTAAATGCTAAGTTGCTTATTGAAGGATTAAATATCGTGTCATCATAAGATTGATATCCAGAAAAGTACGGTTCAAATGGAGATATTTACAGTCGCTATCATGATATTTTGATATATTTAAGTTGATAAAGTTTACAAGGTGTTGGAAAAATGCTAAAATAACGATGGATTCAGTTGTTGAGGTGTATGTAGTTTGTTATATATAACGGTAAGGTTCTTAAAACGAGGAACTAGTGACTAGATGAAACCATCCATCCAGAGACTATGGAAATGCTATATAATGCATCCAGATACGTGAAACCGCCATAACAATAGTTGAGAAACCGGTATCTTATAGTTCCCAGGCGGCGGCGGCAGAGGTCCAACAATTACATTTTTTCTTTTACTGACTTTTCCTTTACTTATTCTAAACTTGGAATGTGAACATGTGTTAAGCTACGACACATCATTTAACACTTGTTTATATTGCTCGTATGGGAGGATTTCTTTTTATTTTTTTTACTCTATTTCTTACATATTTCCGTAAACACTTGAGTTAATCACAACCTATTTTCAGAGAAACTACGGGGGAATATTTACATTTGATTCATTCTGGCAAGAATATGAATGGGCATTATCGTGATACGGATCCTAGTATGTGGTGATGGGATAGAAAAGGAGATAATGTTGTTACATGCACTGGAGAAGTTATCCGGGTAACAACATTGGGGATTTTTTTAATTCTGTCGCCTTTTTTATGATACTAAAAGGTGTTTGAACTTGACTATTCATAGATACACTTGAACTCATTTAGCGAAGAAAATGTCAGATAGGTATAGACCACCAAGTGGCCCAAGATCCACTCGAGGATACGAGGATCGAAGAAACCCTAACCCGTCTAGTAGTAACAACAACAACGCTAGCAGTAATAATAAGAATTATAAATCTTCTTATGGACAGAGGGATACGTATACGCCACCATCAGGACCTAAAAGATATCAAGAACGTGATAATTACAGGCCTAGTTCGTCAGTGAATGAAAGGAGCGACTCTTATCAGCCATCAAAATTCAGGCCTTCGGGACCATCTGGTTACAGAGGTAACGACAGAGACTTTCACTTCCGCCCTGGCTCGAAGAGACCTCATCCATCAGAGTCGAAGGGCTACAGAGGAGGAGATGATTATAGAAAACGTCAGGACAGAGCAGACTTTAATGGCCCAACATCCGGTCCATCAAGTTATAGGGACAAATCAAGCACATATAGGAATCCAAGGTATGATAATAGTTATACACCAAAGGTGAACTTAAAAAACTTACCGAAGGGTCCAAGATCTGGAGGCATGAATGACTCTAGAGGTAAACCAAGATCATACATAAAAAGGGAAGAAGAGGCTGCACCAGTTCTTAAGTTGACTAGATCGCAAATATATCTGATACGTATAACAAGACCATCTGAAATTTATAAAAGAGTTCAACAGGTGGGTGAAGGGACGTATGGAAAAGTGTATAAAGCTACTAATTCTATCAGCAATGAATATGTTGCTTTGAAGAAATTAAGATTAGAATCTGAACGAGAAGGCTTTCCTATCACAGCTATGAGGGAGATAAAGCTCTTACAATCATTTGACCATGAAAATGTTATTGGATTATTAGAAATGATGGTGGAACATAATCAAATTTACATGATATTTGATTACATGGATCACGATTTAACAGGATTATTGACACATCCAGATTTAAAGTTAACAGAAAGCCATAGGAAATTCATTTTCAAACAATTAATGGAGGGCTTGCATTATTTACACAAGAAACGAGTTATCCATCGGGATATCAAAGGATCAAACATCTTATTAGATAATATAGGCAGATTAAAAATAGCGGATTTTGGTTTAGCAAGAACGATGAATGTTCTTAATGACGGAGAAATCCCTGATTACACTAACAGAGTTATTACGATTTGGTATAGACCACCTGAATTACTTTTAGGCTCTACAGATTATGGAAGAGAAGTGGATATTTGGGGCGTGGGTTGTCTTTTGATTGAGTTATATTCTAAAATAGCGGCATTTCAAGGATTTGATGAGATTGGCCAATTGTATAAGATATTTAATGTAATGGGTACCCCAACTATAGAAGACTGGCCTGACATGGAAAACTTACCTTGGTTTGAGATGTTAAAGCCAAAGATAAACAAAGCAAGCACTTTCAAAACTGAGTATGAGTCTATTATGTCAGAACAAAGTTTTGACTTAGCTATCAAATTATTGACATTGAATCCTAAGAAGAGGTTAACTGCTAGGGAAGCTTTAGAGCATCCTTATTTTACTGAAGATCCAAAACCAGAACCATTGCATTTCTTGAAAGATGTCAAAGGTGAATGGCATGAATTTGAAACTAAAAAGAGGAGAAGAAAGGAGCGTAAAAGGTTGCAAGATGCGAAGAATGCGTCATCGCAAAATATAACTCAACTCAATAATGACCTTTCAGTTGATTCGGCACCAGATTCAGTAGTACCACCAGATGGACCAAAGGATTAATTTTGAATAGCATAGGAGAACTTAGATGTAGAATCAATACATATTATGAAAAATTATTCGAATTATTCGTATTTGTTTCGCATGTACTGCGGAACATTAATGTACGCACAGAAGCAAATTTGCGCCCAAAAGCATTTTCAACTTTTTACACTAGGAAACAATTGCTAAAGAAGGCTGCCAATAAGACCTCTACTTAACATAGTTTCCACATGAGAATGCAATTTGCACACACAAAAGTTTTGTTCTACGTTTTATCATTGAGCCTTTTTTTTGCTAAGAGAACAACTGCAACTCAGACAAGCAAAAAGCACCCTTTATCAGAGCTATATAGTAATGCTTTACGAGATGACTTCAATGATTGTATGAACAAAATAGAAATGGACAACATGAGGTACCATTCATGCCAAGGATTTTCGTCAGTCGAAGATTGTCGCTGTTCCTTCTTGAAAGATGTCAACCATCAATGTAAATCGTTGGGGGCAAAGAGTAGCAATTATTGGTACTTTGAGCACCAAATGCAATCAAACTGCAAAAAAATTCCTAAGGTTGGTTACAGTCTGGAAATTTTATCAAGATATATCGGTAATAATGACTTCAGTTATGATCACAAATTGGGTATTAATGCTTCGGTATATGGAGCAGGTACATTTAAAACGGATACTCCTACTCAATATAATTCCCTTGAAGAATATGAGCCACACGAATTGGATACTTACGATCTATCTCATGAATTACATAAAAGATCAAATGCTGCAATAGATACCTTGGACTTTAAAGAATACTACGAAAAAAAGAAGCCAAATGCCATGACAATCAATTGCAAGCTCATGAGGTCTTTGAAGATAACAGCATCCCCGACAAATCATCAAATGACTCAATTTTCAACCACAATTCTAGTTCAAAATCCAACTGGAACCCACACAACTTCTATTGAGGCTATAATGGTTTTACCAAAGAACAAAGAGCAATCTCAAGATTCGAGAAATGACAAAAGATCAAATATTGTCAGGGTGAATGCAACCACCAATTTCAAAGAGGCGAGTGTAGTATATATGTCTGATGCATCTTTTTTCAGCCAACAGATATCACTAATTTTGCTTACAGCATCTGTCTTACTTTCTCTTATTTTCGTACCATGTTATATATTATAATCCTAGTATGACTGTTATCATCGTAAAGAGGTATGTTCCTTCTTATATTCCAGCTACATTTAGATATGACAATTCCATTATTCACCATTGGTTATTATGCTCTTAGCAAATGTAAAATTGTACAACATATTATATGCAGTACAAAACCAACCACTACATTAATGACCAACAAACAACTAATTTTCCAAAAACCATATACTATTGCAATTGATTTATAAATAAGCAATTAATCTAGTTAAGAGGTCAAAAGCATAAAATAGTCTCAAGTAGACTCATATTATCCCAAAAGTTCACTTATATATAACTACATTACCACGGTCTTGATTAATTCAGATACTGAGCAAGGTGATTTGTTAGCAAAATGGGATCTTGTACATCTAAACAACTGGACAATTCCAACCCATCAGGGGTTCCAAAAACCAGTAACAAGCGCAATGAGCAAAGACAATCATTAGCAACTAATAAAAATAATACAAATGCGTCAAAAGATCATAATGCATCTACGGATTCTTCGAACGAAATGCATTCAACGTATCCAGAAAAGTCTGCGATTGAAAATTCAAATGCCACTTCTTCTTCGGCTGGTTCTGAAAAGGAAGTTAAAGTGTTGTTATTAGGATCAGGAGAAAGTGGTAAGTCAACAATTGTTAAACAAATGAAGATTTTACATCAAAACGGATATACCACAGAGGAATTATATGAGTACAAGCCTTTTGTTTACAAGAATGTATTGGAATGTATCAAGAGCGTTATTAATGCAATAATTGATTTGGAGCCTGACTTGATTCATAAGGCGAATGAAACTGGTGAAGTAGAAATGATAGGAAATAATACTATTGGATCAGACAACCAAGAGGAACGCGTGCAGCCATATAACGGGACTTCAAAAGAAGGAAATCGTAAACATGTATTGGATTATGATATGCTAAACGAAGTCTTGGATTATGAGGTCAACATTAATGTTGACGAAAATTTCAACCCAGATATTGCTGATAAAATTATTCATATTTATAAGACCCCGGAGGTTCAAAAGTTTATTAAATACCAACAGGGAAACTTCTATTTAATTGATTCTACTAATTACTTCTTAAATGATTTAGAAAGGATTGCCAAAGTTGGTTATTGCCCATCAGTTGATGATATATTAAGAACTCGTAAGAAAACTTCTGGTATTTTTGATTTCAAATTTCAAATGAGTGGTGGTTTGAATATTCATATGTTCGATGTTGGTGGTCAAAGGTCTGAAAGAAAGAAATGGATTCATTGCTTTGACAACGTGACATCTATTATATTTTGTGTTGCTTTATCCGAATATGATCAAGTTTTACTCGAAGAAAATAGCCAAAATAGATTAGAAGAATCGTTAATTTTGTTTGACTCGGTGGTTAATTCAAGATGGTTTGCGAGGACCTCAATTGTATTGTTTTTGAATAAAATTGATGTTTTTGCAGAAAAGTTACCCTATTCTCCATTAGAAAATCACTTTCCTGATTATACTGGTGGTAATAATATTAATAAGGCTGCTAAGTATATATTGTGGAGATTTAATCAAGTTAATAGATCCGGCTTAAGTATTTATCCTCATGTGACGCAAGCTACAGATACTTCGAATATTCAATTGGTATTTGCGGCCATTAAAGAAACAATTTTGGAAAACAGTTTGAAGGATAGTGGACTCCTCTAGTTTATGATATCGGCTTTTTGATATAGGATAGTTTTCACTGAGTATTAATTAAACACATGACTCTCGTGAATTGTGCACTATTCTATCAAAGTAATATTTTAAATTAATATTAGATATAATCTATATACTTTTATATGCAATATTAATAATTATTTAATTCAACTTTCGGCTTTGTCATCTTTACTTCTCACATAATGAAGATTGAAGTTTCCTCTTCCTCTAGCCCCTCTCATACCTCTAACAGAACCCCTAAAACCGCCTCTACCTTTACCTCTACCTCCTCTAGCTCTACCGCGATTGGAAGTAGTAGAAACATTCTCTGACAGCACATCTGACTTTGTAACATCCGCTTTCGAATCTACGGAATCTGAAATACTTTGTTTTCCACCAGTGGAAGACGATGCCAGCCCATTGCTAGGATCAGATTTAACGTCTTTTTCAATCATTTCTGGAGTCTTACTGCCTTTTTCGTTACTGACTGTAGAATTATTCAACACTTTTGACAAAACTTCAGATTTCGCCACTTTCGCTTCTTTCAGGTCCTTTACGTCTTTTACGTTTTTGACGTCTCTCACATTCTTCACATCTTGAACAATTTTTACATATTTTCTTTCCTTCGGATCCTTAGCATCGTTCATATCTTTAGAACCATTCAGGGCTTCAATTTGGTCGGAATTATTAGTTTCCTTGGACTTTCTACCATTTTTATTGTTGCCTTTGAAATTAGCTTGTAGCTTTCTGGATTTAACCTCTTCGATATTTTTGACGTCTTTCTTTGGTAAGTCTGTCGACTTGTCTCTTCCCGAAAATCTGCTTTTATTTCTTCCGGTGCCCCTGGCTCCAATACCACGATCTTCTTTACTAACATCCCCATTAACATTACTCTTTGTTGCTGTATTTTTCGAATCAGCTGTATTTTGATTTGATGTGACGGCGACCTTGTCGATAGATAATCCTAATTCTTTTGGAATATGGCGTTTATAGTTTGCACCATTCTTTTTATTATTAGAGGCTTGTGAATGAGAACTGAAACGCGTATTTTGGGGCGTTTGCACCTTCTCTCTCTGGGCATTCTGTCTCTTACTCAACTCTGCAAAATGCTTTTTGAAATTTGGCCTGTCTTTTGCCCTCTCAGCTTCTTGAGACGAAACTTGCGTTTCTACCGGTTTCTTATTTTCCTCTGGAACAGACATTGATTGGTTTTCATTTACCTTATTATATGTTTGACGCGAGCGTTTCTGATCTGAGGTAGCCTCTTTGGGTTTTCCTGAGCCATTAGCAGGAGACTTATTTATAATTTCCATCTTATTATTTCGTGATAAAGAAGAATTGATTTCCTTCAATTTATCTTCTATTTCTTTATCTTTGGCCCCATTTTCTAACTCCTTACTTGCGGCAGTATTTTCTACATTTGAAGAGAATTCACTTTCTTTAACTGTCAAATCTACTGCTGGTGTCTGAGGCTTCTTCTTCAATATTACTGGCTTATTAGTACTTGGCTTTGGTGAATTCTTGATTGACTTGGGGGTACTTCTTCCTTTAGGAGGAGATGGGTTTTCATTTTTACTTAACAACTCGGCTAGACTCTTGTTATTGTCCTTTGGAGAATATATGGATTCGGGGATTGGTGCTTTTGTTAATTGAGATTTTTCTGCTTCCTTCAGTTCGGGATGCGATTCGGCGCTTGGGACGTTCTGACTTGTAGAAGGTGAAGGCCTCTTCAAGATATTAACTGAAGTTCGCCTTGAATCTTTCTGTGACATTCTTCTCTCATGTGGAACATGTGTCGGTTCTGAAGATGCTTGCTTTCCTGTAGAATCATGATGACCCAAATCAATATCATCAGCCATTGGGCCCAAAGTCTTAATAGTCGTGTGGTTGATAGTGATAAGCTTTTTGTCAATTTCGTGCAGTTTTGCTAATACGTCTACTGGTTTTGCTGCACCAAAGGGGTTAGGTTTATTTTTTTGTGGTGCGGCCGTTGGAGGCCCTACGGAGCCTTCTTGGGGCATTGATGGCTTTCTTTCAGATAAACTAGGTTGCAATATTGAAGTGGCATGAGAATTCAATGGCTGATGTTTCCTTGGAGGAGAATTGATATTAATATTGCGGGGTTGGTCAAATCCACCATGGCCAAAATGTTGACTTTGCTTTTGCTTAATAAAGTCATCCTGGATTTCCTGAATTTCCCGTTCGTGTTCTTGATTGAAGGCAATGCAGTGTTGAAAATCATGGAAATCTGCCAATTCGACCACCACTCTTCTAGTCGCCTTGTAATATAGATCTTGCCATTTCAATACTTTGTTCATCTCCTGAAACGATTCTAGTTCAACAAACGCTACCTTCTTAATAACATGTGTTTCTAAAATGTTGGACGACGGGTCTACCACTATTTTAAACTTCACAAACGACGTGAATCTGCTCTTAAACAAGTCTTCAATAAATGATTCATTAGATGTGATCGGGAGATTCAACAACTTCACTATGTACGGGGGTCCATTATCATGAAGTCCAGACAGTCTGCTATATGAATGGCCTCCAAATCCTCCCGATTGATGTGAATTTCCAAACGGATCTTTTGAATATAGTGACTGTTTGTGCTTTTCGATGGGAACTGATATAGATGCCATATCGATTTCATCATCTGCCCAAGAGCCTCCAAAAGCTAATATTTCCTGTTAGTATACTTGCTCATACAATTTCAATTGACCCATTTACTATAATAGTTACTTACACTGGTCACTGAAGAACTCTTGCAATGTCATTTTTTTTTGAGGTGCTATATAAATTCCGTCTGTTAGTATCATCTGTCTCAATATACCGCCTTTAGCGCTTTTTTTTCTCCTGATTTTCTATTTTATAACAAACATACCCATCTTCCTAAGTATTAATACGTGTTCAATACTATAGATATCCTTGGAATTATCGATTGATCTCTTAAATGTTTAATCTAATACGCTTTGTAACAACATATAATTTTACGTGACAAAATATCCCGTAGCTTTGCGAGTCACGTTCTAGTCATTACCGCGTTAAGTAAGAATATACATACTAAGGCTATTTAGCTGGCTAAGACATATATTGTATTCATTTTAAAGACTAGATACTGTAGTAAATGTATATACTGTTCATAAGGTTGCATAGCTATCATAGGTTTTTCTCCAGTTGGAGAAAAATCCGTTGAAAAACTTAATACCTAAGCCAATGTCTTTGAACCCCACAGTAGCTCTGATCGAATGCATCGAGAGCTGAGAAATACCCAAATCTATAGTTCTGGCACCGGTTTGCAGGGAAATCAAGGGTCCAATTGAAGAGCCAGACCTGGATCCATTACGTACCTGGAAGTATTGAAGAGAGTCGTCGTTTATTCTGGCTAATTCTTCGGCTAATGCCAAACCAGGTGCATCGGTAGCAAAATGGCCGTTAGGATCGACAGCGATGGTAATTCCTTTATTTGGGACAGGTTTATGGTGCTCGAGGTATTCACTAGTAAAATTAGGGTTCAACAAATGGTTGACATCCGCAGAGAGGATGATGGAATTAGCGTAAGCTAATTTTAATTGCTCTTGAGAATGTAAATCATCATCTGGGTTGTAGTATTTCGATGACAAGACCCTGGAAATTACCAGATCAGTGATTCCACCTTTGGCACCCGTAGCAGATCCTGAGCCGATTTCTTCGTGGTTGTATAAAGCAACGAGCGAGAAAGAATCCGATTCCACGAGCGAGTCGTGATTGCTTTCGAGTAAAGAATGAATTGCTGCAAATGAACAAATTCTGTCATCAATTCTAGGACTGAAAATAAACTCCTTATTCAAACCACCTCTTACTCCCTTTTGGATATCGTATAGTTGAAGATCCCATTGAAGAATTTCAGATACTCTAACCCCGGCAAGGGACGCAATGTATCTCAATAATTTCAATGGATGTCTGCCGTATAATGGAGACGATTTTTCCTCATCCGATGCTTCTGTTTCATCGTCATTGGGTCCCGAATATCCAATCACTGGGACAGTTTGTGTTTCCTTGTTATAAGGCCTTTCGGATGCAGCGCCAAAATGGGGTGCTAGCGTTGGGATGCGAGCAATTGGATGTGGGGTAGAATCGACTAATTGCTGATTGACTCTTTTGGTAGCTGGATCTCTCACCAAGAGACTTCCACCAATCCCTAAGTCTCTATCTAACCAAAGATCGTTCAAAGTTCCCGCATATGCAGCCACGCCTAGCAATTCATAGCCATCTATTTTTTCTTTGGTAGAGTTGGGTTTCAAAGGCACAGTCAAGGAGTCAATGTGAGAGCCAATAATACCAACCCCTTTTTCAGCAGACCAATTCTTACCAACGATAAAGGCTGCTAATGATGTACCGTGTCTAATTGTGTAGTATTTACCTGGTTCCAACGACTTCCACGAGTCTTTCTCAGGAAGATACTTAAAACCCTCGTCGTTCAATTTTTCAGCAAAATAGTCAACAACGTGGAAAATAGTTGGATTGGCATAAGTAAATTCTATATATTCGTTTGCATACTTTTCATAGTAGTCATCGTTGTATTTTGATGACAATTCAACCTCGTGAGATACTTTCGATAACGCTGGCTTCTCTTGACGATCGTTCAAAACTTCTTTAATTTCTTTTAAGTTAACTTTCTTTAAAGCAGCTTCCATTGCTATGGCAAGAATTTCTAAGTCGCTCATTCTTTGTCGTCGTAAATTGTATTTTATTTGATATTAGTTCAATGGTTCTTTAGCAAGATAACCCTTAATTTTTCGATAACCAATTTGGTTATCTACAGACGTGCAAGCCCGCGCAACACTGTGGCTCAAGCCATAGCATAGTACTGCTTTTACTTATAAATACATTAGCATAGCGAAGTCTATTAGATACATAAAAGAATTCTAAATATTATATACAGATTATTAGTTTGGCTTCACAGATGCAAATGTTGCAGCAACAATTAATGGGAAAACTATACTTGCATCGGCGTAAACTTTAACTTGTTTTGCTTCAGCTTTTATCTTACCCCAAGAAATAGCCTCGTCTGGTCTGGCACCAGCATCAGAACCATCAAACTCTTGACCAGTATTTATGTAAACAGCGTAGTCAGCCCCATTTCTCATTAAACATGCGTTACATATATGGTGCTTGATCAACCCACCACCTAAGAGGATCATACCCGCATTGGAAGCGGCCATCGACATCGAATTTAATTTTCTGATATCAGCAACAATATCTAATCTAAGTTGCTGTGGAGAAGACTTGAAAGTGTGGAAAAAAAGCATGTCCCCAATCGAGCCATCGGTTAAGGCAGGACAGAATACAGGAATCTTGTTCTTATGAGCCCAGTACAAGACGGAAGACTCATCGTTTATTTCTTTCCCTAACCTGTCGATTAATTTTGAAGGAGTCCAACATGCTGGTGAATCAGCATTCAATCCATCAGAACCCATTTGTTTCATACCTTCTTCTTGTTCTTCCAAACATTTGTCTAAAATTGGTACAATCCACTCTTCAAATTTACAATAATTGTCATTTGGAACCAATAAGTTACCAATTCTGTTCATACCTTGATCTCTCAAACCTTTTCCTGGTAAACTAAACTCACCCATATAAGTAGGAGCCAAGACTTTGATCAAATCCTCTTCAATACCACCCGCACTGGATACGATAGCGCTAACCATTTTGTGTTGCACTAAGAATCTTAATGTATCTCTTAATCCCGATGATATCAAGTTAGAAGTATAACCCATAAAAATGGTCGACTTTTGATATCCTTTATCATCAAATTCTCCTGTTCTTTCATGTTCAGGTAAAGAATCGATGTGTTCACCTCTCCAGCTTCTCATACTGTTAATAATTTCGCACGCTTGACTCACAGATGAAGCTTGGAATCCCATATTTTTCATAGAGTCTATTAAATCAACTGCCTTCATGTTATAGGCAGAATCTTTGGAGTAATCAACACCCTTGATTTCAACAAAACTATCAGGAACTGGAATAGATTGCTTAAGAACGGCATCAGATGCCAATCCCGGTAACTTGTCTGAACCACTCATTTCTTTTCCTAAAAATATGTACTTTAGAGTTAGAATATTTCCTTATAATTTGATGTATGAAAACTTTTATATTGAGAAGTGTCGAGCCGCACACTGCTCAAGTCTATCTTGGCCATTTTATCCAAGACAAATGATTCAGACTAATAAGTCACAATCCTGCTCAGCATGTATAACCATGATGGTAATTAGAAACAATATTAATGTATATTTCAGTGTAAATTTAATAATGTAAAAATATATAACGTAGATATAAGAAATAATGAAATACATAAGCCACCGTAAACCAACAAGGAACAACAAAGTTACATTAGATCGCAACGAGACGTCTTCATTATACCGATACTGCTCAAGCTCTTGATCCTAACAACATCTTCTGTCGTATAAAAGTTTGAGCTCGACATAACAATAAATATGCAAATGGATGAAATTACGCTTCGACACGTTCTTTAACTTCTGGAGTCCAGGCAGTATGCTTTGGTTTAGCGGTGTTGTAAGTAACAAAAGCACCAGGTGAACCGGTGAAGTTCTTTTTATGTAAATCTGGTAATGGGTAAGCTCTGACGGTCTTTTGATCAGCTGGTAACTTGTTTGGTGGTGTGTTGGTACCATAACCCAACCAGTAATGCCATCCTGGTTCAACCTTTGACATATCAACACTCATATTCCAATCAGAGTACTCAACCCATCTAGACCTCAAATGAATTTCTTCTGGGACATCGGTTTCGTAATATTTGTTACCAAAGTCATCTTCACCGACTAACCAACCTCTCTTGGTATCATTGAGATTGTGGACTTGCCAAGCAGCCCTCTTAAGTCCCGAGGAGTATATATTTTTAAGAGTACGAACAATAGAAGTCGACATATTGGTTGTGCTTTAATCCTAATACAATAATGTTTCTTGTAGTTTTATAGTTTTCTGATTATATTGAGTGAACAAATTTAGTTTGATTGGTTTAAAATATGATCACGTGATATTTCAGGACATATATATGGTGAAGTAGTATCTACTGGTGTAACTGATAGGGAACCGAGTGCTCTACCTCTAAGTAATGTTGTTCAAGTAGTCTCCTACGTGAACGAGATGATAAGCTCAATATCTCTTCGGAATAAATTTTCATTAAGAAGTATTCGTGATGAGACGGCAAATCCAATTCGGGATCGTGACGGTTGCGGTGTAGCTTTCTAGCAAAGCTAGCTGTTAGCATACCACAGAAGTATATATCTACAAAGCCAATGTAATTAAAAGTGTTTGGATAGATCTAAAGTATACCTCAAGAAGATCTTGAGTGATAATGACAAAAAAAATGGCATTTCGTATAAATTTCGGTACATGACAATAAATACTCTTCATCTACATAAAATATCTCATAGTATCATATATTATCGGAGAGAAATTCTAATTATCGCATTATGTAACAGGTAGTAAGTAAGATATTACACTTACTTAAAATAATTGTTTTCATTCATCATTATAAGAAATCATTTAAATAGGCTCTTTTTTTTCACTTACGTCTTAATAAGGCAGATTGCTCCAACAAATGGTTAACGTCAGAAGAGTTAATTACCACACCAGTCTCAGAACATTTAGCCTTGCTCTTCAACTCGCTACACAAGCTGTCAATGTCAAGCTCTGTGTATTTGGGGTGTGAGGTGATGCGGTCCCATATTTCAGAACATTTAACAGTTTGCTCCGGCGCTGGGACAACTTCTTCTTCCTCTGTTGGTGGTGGGATATTATTAGATTCGTTCTTCTTGACAGAATTGTCTTCGTGTCCTTCAGAAACGCTGGTTCTAACAAAATCATTGAAATTGAACCCTTTATCACTCAATGGATCGTAAACACTTTCCTCTGTTGTCAATAACGATATTGGATCTACTTCGTTGTCTCTTTTAGGTTCTTGATAGGTGTCAGCGAATGCCAATGAAACATCAAAGTTATTATCATTCAAAAACGATAAAGGATCTTCATTGTTTCCAGATAATTCGAAATTAAACTTAGAGTCTCCATTGAAAAAAGGGTCAAAGCCTGTGTTGTCGTTAGTTGAAGTCGTATCTGGATTCTTTAAATTGCTGAATGGCGAATTATATTGATATTGGTTTTCTTTGTCCTTGGGTATAGGGCATTCTTTGGTGCCACAAGCTTCATTTAGCTTAACGCAAAAGGGATCAACTTGCTCTTCAAAGCTCTGATGTGTAAAACCGAAATTTTGATCATTCTGGGTATCAAACTGGTTTGAGTTGACTGTGTTAGGTGCGGAGTTCAGTGAATCTGGAGAAACCAAAATGTTATCATTGAGAGGAGATGTAGACGAAGACGATCCACTGATCAAGTCAGGAACGTATTGTTTCTGACCTGTCTGATATCCATCGCTATATCCGTCATTACTGGTATTGGAATCAGCCAAACTGTCCTTGGACCATGGGAAGCTAGCAGAAAACTGACCCACCGAATCAGGGGATGTGTTGTTCAGCGATTCATTAGGCGATTGGAATTTGACGTCTCCAACAGATGACTTATTACTAGTCGAATCAGATGAAGAACGGTGCTTATCACCCATTGTCGGCCTATATGTGCCCCCTGTATTAGGATTTGACAAATGCCCCACTCTTGTAGGTAACTTCAAGTCCAGAAAGTCGGTATGACCTCTGTATCTTGCCAACTCGTTCTTCAACATGTCAACTTGTGCCTTCAAGAAGTCCAGCTCGGTGTTGGCCTTGATTGTCTCGTCCTCCAACAACTTTACCTTATCCTCCAAATCCTTCATCTTACGCTCCTTTCTCTCCCTATAGGCCCTCTGTGCAGCACGGTTCTGGGCTGTTCTCTTCGACTTAGGCTCTATCTCTATGGGCTTACGGCCCGGCTTCGTGTGTAACTTTTTGTCGTCATGACTTAAATTAGACGACCCCGAAGATACCTCAGATATATTCCTTTTCACGTCCGTCATTTTAATACTATATCCAATATCGCTATGTCGCTCTTCTGTTATTTGTCGCTCTCTAGTGATAACTATTCCTTACCACCTATGATAATCCGTATTCTAATGTCAGAATACGAGCAATTACTTCTCAGATTTAATGGAGATAAAATTTCTCACTTTTCTTACTAATGTTCTGAGGGCACAATTTATGCTCACTAATCAAAATCTCCTAAATGACACTCTAATAATAAACGTTTCCACTACTACTTATGAGTCTTTCTGTACCTGTTCTTGTCTCGTAGACTGGATAGGGTACTATGTATATATGAGTAGACCTTAAAAATTGAAGGGTAACGATGTTTCAAAAACTCCTAAAACTCCGATCGTCATTTCTTAAGCGCTTTGGGTTTATTATATATTAAGTCTAGTGCACACTATGTAATTTCTTTTACATTCGCTGTGCTATTGTGCATGCGAACGTGCAAGGCCGGGAGTTTCCCTTTAGAGACTTCCCCCCGTATCTGCAATATAATAGGTCCTCGCGACTTGTGATCGGTTGTTCCGTTTACTCGGAAGGTTAGCTGCTGACAAATTATTCTGCGATATGGAATGAATAGATAGAACGAAGTCAACAATGCCAAACAAGCCTTACAAGTTCAAACAGGTTTCGACAAAGCCAATGCCCCGGAATAATGCAGTTACACCTGAAAAAGGAGCATGTAAGTGAGTCATGGGCTGCAAGTCGTAAGTAGACTAGGTTTAAATTTAGTTACGACGGAACTACAAAGCCTAATTAGTCGAGCAGTGTTAGACCTACCATAATGTATTATTGGGTACGACGGGGCGTAGGTGGTGTTGCAGAGTGACATCAGCGACGTTGCGCGCTCATTGGGGAGGAGAGCTGTTATGAACTGGTCGCTAAAGGGTTTTTCGCAGCGTCAATATTCGATCGAATTCTAAACTCATGCTCATCATCCTATCTGAGTGCGCTTATATAATAGAGAGGGTGCCGCAGAGAGAGAAAAAACAATTTGATCAGATAACTAACACATAGGCTCGTCCGTCCACGGAGTTATTTCGGACATCCAAAAACATTGATTCTGGCCATGGACTACGTATGTACAATTAGGTGGATTGAGGTCATATGAGGCAACTACTAACATATCTAGCAAGCGCAGATTGCAAGCTTACAAAAGACCAGATCGGTGATGGAGACAATACATCAATCGACATTGAAGATATATCAGGATATTCAGGTGGCACGGAACAACAATGAAGTGATTCTAAATGAGGCCAGCGAGGCCAGAAATGTGGTTCAGGGGCTTGGGAATGAAAAAGAGAAATAACAAGAATGACAGCTATTTGAAAAAACATGGGAATAAACATAAATTAGGTTTTATATGCGACGGGGATAGGGAGACGGTAGACGGCTATTACAGTATTTATAGATGAATGCACGGCTTTGGATAGATATATGCGTAGACGATGGGGAAGATGTAGAATTTGGAGAGCATGCGGCGTCGAGTGGCGGTTCCAGATGCTTTCGGAACAACCCTAAAATTAGATTATGCGTAGAATTCTGTAGGACGGCGATAAGTCTCCGCAAATATATAATCTATACGATGACGATAACATATGGCACGGTGCCGTGGTTTAAAGATAAGCTAAGGAACGAATATGATTGAATGGATTATGTGAATAAGACGGGGAAAATGAAGATAACGAGTGATAATTGCGAAAATCTAACATTTCGGCAAAAGTTGTATGTGAGCAAATTTAGTAGATATTAGTCGGATTTTTATAGGATAATGATAAATGCTGGCGAATACGATAGAAATTCATATATTCCTGGACTACTGCTGGAGTCGTTCTTTTCGACATTTATTACTAGAAAATATTATTAGAGACAGTTTATTAAGATCATATGAATATATCGAATCAATTGACTCAATTGGTTCAATTGAGTTCTATGAAACATATACGGAAAGTACCTTGGTTGCTAGGCATTAATGATCTTGGCTAAAAATAAAGAAACCCGATCCCCTATTTTATGAGTGAAATGTCGAGCCAGCATTCAACCCAGAAATGGATTGCAGCATTAATTATCAGAACACACATCCTACATAAGTTATCTTTACAATCAATTCCACAATCAGTTTATACACCTGGTTTTCAATCGACGTTTCTATCGTTTCTCTATTCTATGGAACTGGTAGTTTCGCAACGAGCAGAATTATACGGTATAAGTACGTAGTCCTACAATTTGATATTCTCGGACGTCTGTATATAAGCATCTAGTGATTACTCCCGGATAAAAGTTGATAGACTACAATCCTCTTTTATTATATACCACTGAAAACAAGTATCTATAATGACTCAATTACCTCTTCCATACTACAACGATGATCCAAACTCATTCGCTTATCCTACAGTGCATAAAAGATGGCCTACAATCATCGAAGGATGCATTAAGGACATGAAAAATGAGATTGAATCAGATCCTAAGTTGGAAAGTTCAGGATCCGACATCATTAATAAGTTACAGGAACTCTTAGTTGCGTTCAAGAACGATGAAGAGGTACAGTTATTTAGCGATGCTGCAATCAAATTGAATCCTTCGTTAGCTCGTTATAACGACTCATTAGTTGAACTCAACAAGACCAAAAAAGTCACCTGGTTGACTGGACCGTGGTTAAACTTGGAATGCTATTTATATCAGATTATTAATCAATATTTCATTTCGTCTGAAGAATCTTATTGGCATGATTTTGATGTTTTTGAAAACTTGAAGAACCAAACTTTTCAACAATCGGAGCTTGGCGTATTAGAATTATGCAAAAGATATGAAGTTCTCACTACTCAATTATCCAAAGATTTAGATAACGATACTTTGAGGCTCCTTTTTTCTGAATTTATAGATATTTCATTATGGGGTAATGCTACTGATTTGTCGTTATTAGCAGGAAATGTTACTCTTGAGGATATTCAATCAGTTCAAGGTGAAGCAAACAGAAAGAAAAACGAAGAAAACATTTTGGTCAATGATTTGTCAAAAGCTTGGGAGCACCTTTTAAAAAGTGAATCTAAAGAAAAAAGACTCGATATTGTCTTAGACAATTCAGGGTTTGAATTGTTCGCTGACTTAATATTCGGGTTATTTGCTTTGGACTCGGGATTGGTAAGTGAGATTTATCTTCATTGTAAAGATATTCCTTGGTTCGTAAGTGATGTAATGCCAAAAGATTTCCATATTCTTTTAAAACAATTAATTGACCCTGAATTCTATGGTAGCCTTTCGTCTAGCAAAGAAAATTTGCAAGCCATTTCAACTGTACAAAAGAGAATAGCAAATTATCATAAGTCTGACAAGATAGTTATCAAGTCTCATCCATTCTGGACTTTAGACGACAAATATTGGACTATTCCAAAATTCGACGACTTATATAAGGAATTATTGAAATCAAACCTAGTTATATTCAAAGGTGATTTGAATTACCGTAAATTAACAGGTGATGTACAATGGGAAACAACAACCCCTTTTACCACTTCTATTCAACAATTGGCTTCATCAAAATTACCAATTTTGAGTTTGCGTACTTGTAAAGCCGATGTAGTAGTCGGTTTACCAAAGGGGTTGAACGAAGAATTAATTGAAAAATACAAATCCATGGGTAACGAAAAGGGAGAATTTTGGAGTTCTTCTGGTAAATGGGCTGTCATATCCTTTTCGGACGGCCAAAACTAGTTAAATAGATTAAAATACATTATACGTTTATTATTTTATATTTAAGAATAAATAACTCACCATAGCAAATATCTAATCAACATAAGACAACAATAGAAAAACACTATCTACATATCACCAGCCTTCTTGGAGTTACAAGCTACTATTTTAAATTTGTCCACATTTATTTCGTTATCATTTAAGTCATTATTACCAGAATTTGAAACATCCGTCAATTTGATTAGAACGTTTTTGATTATGAAAGTCCACACATCGTCACAAAATCTATATGTATGCAAATCTCCCTTAAAGGTCAACTTAGATTTGGAAATTCCCAGCTCGTTTTTCAACAATTCAGATATGATTCGATCGAAGTTATTTAAAATCCTCATAGCTAATTGTGGTTGTATTTTTTCATCAGATATTAGCGTATCTAATGCATCAGTTAACGTCGTTCCTATAGTCGACCTTCTATAGAGCTCATAGTATGCTGGAGCACTCATTATTGTAATACTTTTATGTGTTAATGATATCTCTTAAATATAGTCATTAATTGATAATTGATATTTGATAATTGAAAAGCGACTCTCTAATATGGGCGTGCATATAAAATTTGCCTATATGAAAACTGAAAATGTCCTAGTTAGATTTATCGGTAGCTTTATTAAGACATTATGAATAATAAGGATAACAAGAACCAGCAAACTGTATCCGAACGATATAGAAATGCTGTTGGAAAGTTCCAGAGTATTTTTAATGGAAGCTCTGGATTTGGTGAGCGCAAGGACTCATTGAAATACCAGACAAATATAAGCGATTTGATTAAAGAGTTCACTTTGATTCATTTAATTGTGAGCAGGTTAGATTTGTTTAGCGAAAACGAATCTCTTGACGAAATAAATGCTAGCTACATACAATTCATAAACATTGACTATTATTTGGGATTGTTATACTCGGAGTTTATATGGAATCCAAAAACTGGACAAGTACCAGAAGCATCAGATCCAATTGAATTTAAGGAAGAGAATATCAGCATCGCTAAAACCAAGCTTGTTCATTACATCGTACAATTAGATAACTATGGAGAAATTCTTTCTAAAACTCAGTCTTCGAGAGTGAATTCCTTCAAAGAATTATATAACCCTACAAACGATGAATTAATTACCTATAGTAATCCGGCATTGAAAAGAGCTGATAAAATTGAAAATTATAAGCTAGAGAAAGAATTAAAAGATAAATTGCAAATATTAAATGACTACTATAACCAAAATCCCGAAAAAGATGAAGAACAAGATGATTCCATATTTCAAAGATTTGATGAAGAGGTGGTCAAAGCGATTTATGTTGATCAACTAAGATTGTTCAGTATTAGCGCATTTAATAATTTGGAGCTGTTATCAATGGAGTTGCAGGTTTTATCTAACAGGCCAAGGCAGCGCATAACAGAAATAGAGGCCCCTAAGCCCAAAGAAGAGCCATCGCTGTCGAATGACTATGGTTATACCACAAAGTTAGAATCATTACCATTCAAAAATAATAGCAAAATCTCTGATTTAATTTCTAAACAAGGTAAAATCTTGCAACCTTTCACAATTACCTCCAATAAACAAGATCTCAAGCTGAAAGTATTTGGTACAGGCCAAGTTCTTCCATCCATGTCCGTTGAAGAATATTTAGATTATGAGTTGGCGAACGGCAAGATGGTGAAAGAAGAAGTTAAAGATGAGAAGAATGATAGTGATAGTGATAATTCCGACGAAGAATTAGAAAAGAGACAATGGGATGACTGGAAGGATGATAATCCAAAGGGTGGTGGTAATATGAAAGCAAATTTAGGTTAAGTTATAAAATCATTTAATTATCTATACATATATGTACATTATTTTAATTTAAATCGTCTTCCAATTCTCTTAACCATTCGTAGTATTCTAAATTTATTTCATCCAATTTAATCACCGATAAAGAATCAATGCTTTTTGATCTTATGATCCACTTATCTTCATCATCATCGAAGCTTTTTAAACAATTGAGAATTATCATGTATAATTCTAAAATTTTTAATTTATATTGTTTGATATCTTCGACAACTGTGGCAGAGTTGGTGAGCAAATTCTTTTGTTCATGTTTAAATCTCGTAATAAACATGTACAACGATTCAGCTGCTCCTCTTTTGTCGGCCAAATGACTTGAGTTTAATGTAGATGTTGGCCCGAAAAGTCTCCACGTATAAAGATATTCGTAACACTTAAGAGAATTAGCCAATGCTAATTCATTGTTAGCAGTTTCCAATAATATAGAATCAATTAATAAATAATGTTTGGAATACAACTCATTTGAATTTGGTGAAAAAATAATTGATATACGTTGGTTTGACATTAAGTTGTTTATGAACCTACTAAGTAGATCCTTGTAGTCGAATATAGTTGAGACTTTGGTAGAGGGCAAATTTGATAAGCACTCATACACTAAATCATAGTTCAATGAACTAAGTGCCATCTCAAATATATTGAGATAGTACTGATCAATATTCAAGATAATCTCTTCGTTTGGGTTATTAATTCGCTTCAAGTTTTCAACCGCGATTTTTTCAAATTTCAATGCATTATTTATAAATTCCATTTCAACAGTAAACGACGAACTGTGGGCTAATGTTACTGAATTTATAGTGTTTGCAGCTGGAGTTATAAACTTTTGGCGGTGGTGCGAACGATGACGAATATCTTTGCCTTGTGATTTTGATAATTCCGATAAGGCATGGAAATAGTTTGCCTTTTCTAATTCACTTTCTTTATCATCATATTCGCTCAAAAATATTGTGGTAAGAAACGATTTTATACGTGGGTTAATTGACAACGAATTGAGAAATTTATTCTTCAAATCTTCTTTAATAGAATCATCGTTAAATTTAAAAAAATCATGCTTTTCAAATATCAGAAAAAACTCCAATGGCTCATTGTTGATCAAGTAAACCAAGCCAATCAAAAATTTGTCGATAATCTTTGATTGATTTAATTTTGTGAAGAATTTCTCTTTAATTAATAAGCCTTCACCATGGTTAATCAATTCTATAATAATATCGAGAATAAATCTATCATACGATGAAATAACATGACCATAAAAATAATCGTAACTCTCAATTAGTTTACCTTCTCTAATCAAATAATTGAGTTTGGGGTTTTTATTAGCCAATCCCATCCAAAATAACGAATTCTCAGAGTTACTAAGGTCTGCTGATTCAACTTTAGTGTGTATATTATCTGATTCAAAGCAAGTGTTGAAAACACAATCAATAATACCGTAGCTGGATAAACTTTGAATCAATTTATTAAGCAAAAGCAAGATTTGTTCATTCACTTCACAAATTAAAAATAAGACGACCAAGCTCAATAAAATTGATTCGTGGTGACGCTTGATATTTCTAAAAGTTACCAATGTATCCAACTTAGTTAAAGTACCAATAGTGGCTGATGTATTTAATTTTCTTGCATTTATACTTTCATCAAGCTCATCTGGCTTGATGCGTGAATCAACAAGCGATGAAATAGTATCGAGGACATCAGGAATACTTTCTAGTTCAGCCATAATCAGAGAGATTTCATCCGTTGAAATCTTATTATTAAGAACAGTATCATATAATTTAGTTGCATCATCAGCTGTCATTTTTGAAGCTTCAAGATTTAAAACACCATTATAAATTTTATTATATGTTTTTGGCGATAAAATTACAGATAACCGTTCTAATATTGCTGCCAATTTACCTTCACTGGAAGATGGTTTATGATGAAAGAATCCTTCATAGTAATGCGAATGCCTGAATACACTGATATTATTGATGTTCAAGGTCAATATAGTTGACTTATTGGTAATGCATAATGCTAGCGATTCTTCGCCTACTTTTTTAAGTTCTTCACATAAACAGTCCAATTTATACCAACAAGACTTGTGATCTTGATATTCATTTACAGCTTTATTAATAGTTTCAATAACATTTTGTCTGATGGGACTATTGTACCTAACGTTTTCAAGACCTACATGTTCTCTGAAAATATTTAGGGAAGTTGTAATAATCAAATCATCATAATTTTCAGAATTCAAAATCTTGTTAGTGTAGAAATCAATATCATGATACGAAGCAGAATCAGACAATGCACTCGAGTTGCTTGGTTGTGACCAATTTATTGAAGATACTGCACCATTATTAAAATGTATTTTGTAGGTCACAAGGATTGAAGATGTATTTGATTTCCATAAAACATGATAGTTCAAGTAATCACCACGACTTTCACATCTAAAATCTTGAACAAACCATAATGAATTATAAAACTTTGTATTGTCATCTCCCAGGGTGGAAATAAGCAAATCTGGCAACTGAGGTTGGAATGTTACACGATCTAATGAGACCAATTCTATTTGAGTTTTATGATCTAAAATCTCCCACGCTTTGAAAAGAAAACCCAATTGATTATAATCTTGCTTCAAACTATTAGAGGTAGTCGTATAATGACATGTCAAATAAGTGTTACCTGATGATTCACTTTCAACAATTTGCAAGTATCGGGAAGATACCGAGCTTAACCAGGCAGAATTAACTCTTGTTCCCGACTTATCATCTTTCAAATCTATTGGACTGCGTGCTTGTTGATGATTTTCTAGATTCCAGAATTTTAACACTTTGTCGACAGTCAACGTTATAAGTATACTATTGTTGACAGCTACTAAGTCCACAAGTGAATTAGAAGAGACACCATCCAAAACAATATCATGACTCGATGCATCTCTTTTGAACAAGCTGCTTACAAAATTTAATGGTAATAATGACGTTGGATCGCTGAAGTTATGAACTGTAAAATCCTTCAAATGGTCTGATCTCTGTAAATGTAATAACCCACCGTCTTTTAAAGAAATAATTATGTTAAGTGAGTCAATCGCTTTCATAAACGATGGTGCAGATCTTAATTCGAATGAATATGGTATTGATATTCTCCCCCATTGATCAAAATTGCTTAAAGAGAACTTGGCTTTCTTGCTATCTTCTACTATGAAGTCATTTAATGCTATTCTCAACGTTATAAATAAATAATTCTCATCAATCAAATCAACAATCAACCATCCATCATCTTCTGTCTCCAGCATTTCGTAATGAACGCTGATACAGTGATTTGACTTGATCTCATGAGGTAATACTAGTTGTAAGCTTTGAAATTTCAAATTAAAATTATTCACTTGCCAATTCAAGGGTGTGAAAAAAATCGTCTTCATATCATTTAAAACCAGGTATGAAATGTGATCAACGAACGAAGAGTTTATTTTACTCAAATTGATTATGTCACCTGTGCTAGCTAGCTGTCTATGAAATTGTTCATTGGGAGTGTACTTAACCAGTGATGACGGGTATTTAAGAGGTAACTTAACAGTCTGTACTGCTAAATGCCTCTTATAGCCCATTATATTGGCTGTGGAATAAGATAGATCCATCCTTTATCTAGCTAATCGTGTATTTGCTGAAATCTATGTTTGTTATTGATACGCTAGTTAATGAGCGCTTAATTTTTTGTTGATGGTTTATTGAGATTATTTTTGTGTTACTTTCTCTAAATAAGAACAATATTAGAGAAAAGTATAACTTCTAGGAATACTTATAGATTGAACTTATCCCCGATGTCATCAACTATATTTTATAAGTTTTTATCTCAGAAAACACAATCGACCATTCATTTTGATGGGACGGGTATAAGTGTATTTGATTTAAAGCATGAAATCATATTACAAAACCAACTTGGTCAAGGTACAGATTTTAATTTAAGATTGTATCATCTGGAACAGCCAGACTTAGAATACGAAAACGATCAGGATGTTATACCAAGGTCATCCTTTGTTCTAGCCAAACGATCACCGAGTTTGTCAAAAAATGGGAAATTCAATAATGCATCAAGATATGTTAGTGGAAAGCCTCGTATTAACAAGAAGATGGTGAATACAACGGCAGCTGTGACAAACAACGGAGTTGCGAATAAGGGTGATAGTAGACCAGTAGATGAAAATATTTCAGAAGAAGACCGTATCAAATTGATGTTCGAAAATCAATCCAACGCATGGGCCCAAACGCAAGATGAGCTTTCTACACATAAGGTGGTATACAATAAACCCTCCGCTACTGGCACCAATCCAGAAGATGTGCCACCTCCGGGTTATATGTGTTATAGATGTGGTGGCAAGGACCATTGGATTAGAAACTGTCCTACGAACACTGATCCTAATTTTGAAGGCAAAAAAATTAAGAGAACTACCGGTATTCCTAAGTCATATTTGAAAACTATCTCTAAAGAGGCAGCTACAGCTGCAGAAAATAATAATGATGGATCAGACAATCAAATAACGACAAACGAGAATGGTGATCTCGTAGACCAACAGGGTAATACATATATGATCACGGAGACAGGTGAATATGTCATTGCAATGGCAGATAATAAGACTTGGCTCAATTACCAACAGAAACAGCAAAATGCGGCAATGAAAGCAAAACAAGAATTTGAATCAAAAATCTTAGAATGTATAGAGAAAGACCAAAGATCAGAATTCTTAGACCCTTTGGCAGGTCTGAACAAAAAATTATTGGTCCCACCAATAGTTATGACGGCATGTTGCCAATCTAAAGAAAGTTTGAAGAAGATGACGAACTTTAATTACCATCAACCTTCCTTGGAACAAGTATTGATTGAAAATGACTTCCATTGTCCAAATTGTAACACTGAAGACGTATTCATAGACACGCTTATACGAAATGAAGAATTGGAATCAAGTTTAAAGGATTACATCAAGGAAAAAGAAGAGCAATTAGGCATCGAAGATCCCGCTACTGCGACAAATAATGCTATGAAGAGGTCTAACGAGGACGAAGACGATAATCCGGACGCAAAGAGACAAAATACGGGCTTACCTCTGAGGCCAAATATGCTTCCAATGGTTCCGCCATTTGGGATGCCTCCTGGTATGCCAATGCCTCCTATGCCTATGGCTATGAACCCAAACATGCCTATGCCTATGTTTATGCCACCTCCTCCACCATCGTTTGCAATGAACAATCAACCTCCGCAACAAAAGAAGTAAAAGCCTACACTCGTATAAATATATATAAGTTTCCATTCTGTTATATAAATGTATCATATTTTACATAAAAACTATAGTAATATTTTAACTTCAAAATGTATATATCTCTATACATCTCCAGCCAGTCTTGGTCTTTGTCTGATACCGTTAAATCACTTTGGAACCCTATAACCATTCATATTTTACCCGGATATGAAAAATTACACAAAGCCAAAATTTTAACCGAAAATTTTCCAGCCTTCTTCTTTAAAACGTCCAACGCTGTTCTCTCTTCTTCTTTCTTTTCTTTAATCAATATTAATTTGTTTAGTGTATGTTTAAGAATTCAGTTCACATAATTTACTCATAGGGGTATAGCAACGTAAAAGATGATCCAAACATAAATTTCAAACTAGAGTATGTGACTATTAAGAATGATCACAAATTGATTGCTGATATTAGTTGTTTGCCCGAGTAATAATGAATTCTATAATTAAAAGTGTTCATACTAACAGATATAGACAACCTATATTTTTTTTATTCTTTTTTTTTTTTACTTCTAATGAAATAGCACAATAAGTATGTTTCCATATTTGAATTTTATTAGAAATTGATTTATTATGATGATTTTACAAAAACAAAGCTGGAATTACTGGCTGAAACTCTATGATTGATAAGTTTTTGCACCTTGCTGATACAATATTTCAATTTCAAAATATTTTTGATGTTTTCGAACATTTTACTAACAATATTTTTAGGTATGTTTCTATCGTCATAATACGATATCCTTGAACTACTAGAGCTAACATGAGGAATTATTGCACTGGGCACTGAATATTTTATGAGTGACAACGCATTTATGGTGGGCCTCAGAAACCCACTGTTACTGATCCTATTGTTTTATTGAAAAATGTGATTAATTGTATTTACTATTATCACTATAGTTGGACATATATACTAACAAATTTCAATAGACAACATCTCCCTTCATTTGACGAAACTTCATTATAGTTTTGAAATTGTAATTGTATGTATCTACCGTTTTGTCGAATAATACCAATAGATAAAAGATGATCTCCTTAGATGACGAGTCAGAATTTCGGGATTCCCGTTGATGACAACCTTTTTTTAATACCATTCATGCATATCTGATATCTAAATTATTATAACATGACAATGAAAATGAAAGCAATAACTAACATGATAGAATCAATGAACATTTTCAAATTAATCCAGGTGGGTAATTTGGTTAATGCTTTTGATAAAATGCAGCATATCTAATAAACGATGAGCTTGAAAAAAAAGACAAGCATATGTCTGAATCTTTAAAGAAGAGAAACTTTTTCGTGTCTGATATTAATTGCTGCATAAGTTATCGATTGTGTTAAAATTACTCATTCTCGTTTTAATGGATTGTAAATCGAATCTTCGTTCATTGAGATGTGAGCGAGAAAGATTTAAACGATAGCATATTGAAAGTTTATGATGACTTCACCACATTTATCACGACGGTCTACTGCGTATTGGAACTTGTAATTCCTTTACTTTGATGATAATTTTAGGCCTTGACCGGCCGTGGTTCCTGATATGACTTTTAATGCTTTTGTTTAAGTCTTTCATCGCTCAGATGCAATCTCAACATAAAGTATGTATTATATATCAATAATGCGAATACATTGTATTTAAAATGATGACTTTTATATTTTCTTGAGTACATCAATGAAGAACTCCAAAAAATAATTCGATTTGCATGTCAGTCTGATTTTCTAACTTCGTATTCTATTATAATCAGTCAGGATATAAGTATGGTATACTAACAATAATCTAGTGTTAATAGTAATAAAATATTTTAACTTTTCATAAAATTTGTAGGATTTTGATTGTGCGCGGCATCAACATCATCAGGAAACTTTAATTAGTATAATTAACACTCTTTAAAGAATTTGAAGAAACCCTACAGGATATTTAAAGAAGTGAACATAATATAAGTGGGAATGCACTTAAATTTTCACAAATCTTCTGGGAACTCAAAAAGTCATGAAAATTCTCCTTCGACTTCTCAAGGAAGTACCCCATCTGAAGATCCCCCATCCTACGATTTCACAATCTCATCCACAGCATCGAACGAGTCATTGACCAATGCACCTTCACCAATTAAGAGACCAAGCTCAAGTATTATAGCAAGGGGTAGTCCATCTAAAAGTCAAAAACCACAAAAAAATATTCCTTACAGACCATCCGATGACTTAAAGAAACATAGTAAGATTCTAAGTAATTCAAATGAATCGAGTTTATTATCACCAGCAAGCTCGAATACCCAAACCGAGTACTTTGATGTCCTACCATCGTTTCAAATGTTTCAATCTATTTTAAAAAGAGATGACTCCCAATTTAGTGAAAATCTATCTGTGAATCCTCCTATATATGGCGATGTTACTAATTCATCCCCAACACCCCCAAGTGGTTTATCGCCAGTGTCATCTAATAGAGACAATAATCTAGATTCTATGATGGATAGCCTCACTGAAAGAATTAACGAGTATGCCTTAAATAACAATAATGATGAAGAAAACTACATCTTTGGGGAGGAAGAACAAGACAATAATCAGCCCAATGAACATTTAATAAATGCCGAGAATACACCAATTGCTAGTAATGATACATATGGTGAAACCGTATTAGATAACATAGACAGATTGCCAAAGTTGAATAATTCCCCCATAGATATTCAGATTTATGTAACCAAGAGAGTACCACAGCCAAACCTTCCAAATGATTTAGAAACTAGATTGAAAATGTATTCCAGTGGTGATTTGGTGAATGGTTATATTATAATTACTAATACTTCAGATGAGCCGGTTGATTTTGGATTATTCGTGGTAACGTTGGATGGTACTATAAAGACTACTCATACAAATCCTAATGCCAATCCGTTGGATATTCACAAATACGACAAAGTTTTAATTAAAAAGTTTTTGAAAATGTATGATTTAAATGCTTCTTATGGATATACACAGATCCCCAACAGTGCAGGAATCGAATATGAAGCTTTCACCAAAGATCTACATGATGGGTGTGAGCTTGGATTACCAAACGAAAGGATTTTGAAGCCTCATACTAAATATAAAAATTTTTACATTTAAATTTCCCCACAAGCTTTTGGATAACAATTGTATTCACGATGTGCTACCTCATATATTGCCGCCGCCATCCATGGGGATAGATAGAACCTGTTTCTACAATAGGGGTGGTACTATTGCACTTAATAAGGCCTTAGGATACGGATTTTTAAATGTAAGAGGTACTCCTTTGCTAACCAAAGATTATAGTTTTGAGAATATTAGTGTAAGCTATACAATTGAAGCTAAATTCATTGACAAATTGAATGCTAAAAATCAAAAAGATCCTTTATCACAACACGAGATCAACGACCCAAATTCACTGGCTGATTACGTTATCTCAAAGAACAGTCAATATTACTTGAGGTTTGTTCCAGATTTCAAGGAAAAATATAAATATTACAATGAAGGTTTTCACTACGGTACTGGGACTTTTGGAGCAATAGGGATCGATGGAAAATTATTCGAAAACTTTCTTCATTTGAATACATGGAGACAAATTTATGAATTGAACTATAGCATAGAGAAAGAAATAGATTCAAAATTAGCAAGAGAAGAATTTAAAGATCAGGACATGAAACAAAAGAATTTGTCAATCGATTGTACGTTAACAGATTCAAACATATATTTTTTGAATATGAAAGAGCATTTTTTACAGAATAATTGTACCCAATTTGAATTTAATGAAGATCAACAGCTACGTGATGAAAAGATGATTGGATCAAAAATTCCCGTTACTATATATGGGAAAAAGAAGAAGAAGATTTTGTCATCGTTGGTTAGGATTGGAGAGCTGAAGTTGCATGTCAGGGTGCCACACAAAGTTGTACCTTACGCTTCACCAAAGTTGTTAATGAAATATAATAACGAAAACTTGGATGATTTTACAACATTACGTACTGTAGCTTCAACACCGCTTTTGTCTGAAAAAAATAAGTTGGCTTCAGTTAAATCAAATGAGCTAACCCCAAGAATGTCTGCTACCTCTTCAACTAGCATCAGCGATCTTTACAACAGAAGTGAATCAGATGTACTTGGCTCGGTTGATATATTGTTGTCGTTTGTACCTTTCGATAATGCTACAAAGCCCCCTCAGATAAACAGCATAGAAACTAACCTTGTGTTTTGGACATACAATACTGAATTTCCCTTACCCGTGAAACTTGAGTACGACTTCTTCTATGCAAATCCAGATGAAAATAAGAGTAAACTGCTAGATGATGTTGAAATTACGAGGAATAACTTGCAATCATTAAAAGATCAGGTATATAATTATATTCAATTCTTACAGGCTAACAAAATTTACATTTCAAAGGCATCTTACTTATATTTGAAGTCAATAAAGACATTAGGAATTAAGAAAGATACAGTCAAAGAATATTTCAAGACAATTTCGAATTCTACCAATCCAGAATTATTGAATAATGAACAAGATTGGAAAGCTAAACAAATGCCAAATAAGAATATCAAGTGGGAAAGAGAGCTTAAAATACCATTAACTACAATTAATAAGAACAATATAAATTTAATCCCCAGTTTCCAAAGCTGTTTGGTGGGGAGAATATACTGTTTACAAGTTCTTGTTAAATATAAAGGAGGTGGTGGTGATCAGGATGAATTTGCAGACAATATAGTGAAAATCGATGTTCCAATTCTTGTTGGATGAACGACCGCAGTGATTGGTGGTGAGTCATTCCAAATGAGGCAATCCAAATTTTTTTAAAATTAACCGCGATTCGCTATCAATCATCGAGTCCAAAAAGATAATTTTTTTTTCACTTCTATATAAATTAGTATTTTAGAAACTCATTATTAATATATAGTAAATCAAAGATGATTAGAGTAATTCAACCATCGTTGATTGCATCTAGACAGTTATTCCGTCGTTATTTAGCTACAGGTGGAACTTTCACCAACAAAACGTCACAATTAGACAGAGCTACATTAACGATCAAAGATGGTCCAGTTTTCAACGGTTATTCATTTGGTGCCAACAAAAATATAAGTGGTGAAGCAGTTTTCACAACTTCATTAGTTGGGTATCCAGAATCAATGACAGATCCATCATACAAGGGTCAAATCTTGTGCTTTACCCAACCATTGATTGGAAATTATGGGGTTCCATCTTCGACCCTTAAGGATCAATTTGACTTATTGAAGTACATGGAATCTCCAAGTGTTCAGTGTATCGGTATAGTTGTTGCTGATGTTGCATTGGAATATTCGCATTGGACTGCTGTCGAATCTTTACAGCAATGGTGTCAGAGATCTGGTGTAGCTGCCATTTCTGGTGTTGATACAAGACAGCTTGTTTCTTATCTTAGGGACAAGGGTTCTTCTTTGGCTAAAATTACTATTGGTGAAGAGTACGATGCAGACGAGGATGCTGCTTTTGAAGATCCTGGATCTGTCAACTTGGTGCATAAGGTTACTACTAAGGCTCCATTTCATATCAAGTGTCCAGAAAAATATTCTAAGGGTATTCATATTGCTGTATTAGATTGTGGTGCTAAAGAAAATATTTTACGTTGTTTAGTTGAAAGAGGGGCATCATTAACCGTCTTCCCTTACAACTACCCAATCGACAAAATTGCCAACAAGTTTGATGGTATTTTTATTTCCAATGGTCCAGGTGACCCAACCCATTGTTCAAGTACCACCGAAAACTTGGCTAAGACCATGGAAAAATACCACGATTTGCCTATCTTTGGTATCTGTTTAGGCCATCAATTATTAGCCTTGGCAAGTGGTGCTAAGACTATCAAGTTGAAATACGGTAACAGAGCCCACAATATTCCAGCTTTGGACTTAACTACTGGTAAGTGCCATATCACTTCTCAAAATCACGGTTACGCTGTTGATGCTGAAACATTAAGTTCTGACTGGGAACCATACTTCACTAACTTAAATGATTTATCCAACGAAGGTATGAGACACAGGTCAAAGCCTATTTTTTCAACCCAGTTCCATCCTGAAGCGAAGGGTGGTCCATTAGATACCGCATTCTTATTTGACAAATTCTTCGATAACATTGATCAATACAGAGCTACTAATGGGTTAAACTTAGGTAATGTTGATGATAGTTTATTGGTCGACATCTTGCCAAAGGAAAGAGTACTTTAATTAACTAAACGATCTTATAGTTTACATTTAATAGAAAATAGGTTTAAATACTTGATTAATATATCGTATATCGTATACAGTATATGATATGGAATAGATTTGGGGATGCGCTATAATTCGTTTAATCTCGTTTTATTAAAAAAAATCACGCCATTAGAATTCGTTTAGCAGCCAGATGTACTTTATCAAACGATTGTGTATACGATTCAAGAATATAAATTACTTAGATTAGTCCCATTAAAACCTATTTGTAGTTCCTTGTAGCACATACTTTAATATGGATTTATTCAAACGGACATCAGCTTTACAGCCCATTTTCGCAAATAGTCATTTGGCTTCTAACATCTCTACAGAATCATATATTGATGTATTTCACAGCTTGCAAATGCTTTCTAACGGAGATACATTGGTTTCAGAACTCAGTTTACTTGAAAAATTGTGGGCTTCTTGGTACATCTACATGAATAATGATATTTTGGCTACTGGAATCTTGTTTTTTGCTACCCATGAACTCATGTATTTTGGGCGGTGTTTGCCATGGTTGATTATAGACAGGATTAGTTTCTTTAACAAATGGAAGATTCAGGATGAAAAAATACCTTCCGATAAAGAGCAATGGGAATGCTTTAAATCAGTTTTGAAGCTGCACCTATTCGTGGAAGCCTTGCCTATTTGGTTGTTTCATCCATTATGCGCTACTTTGAACATTTCTGTTGACGTCCCATTTCCTTCATACTTAGTGATGTTCTTACAGATATGCTTATTTTTTGTTTGTGAAGATTTCTGGCACTACTGGGCTCATAGATTATTTCATTATGGCTGGCTATACAAATATATCCACAAACAGCACCACAGATATGCTGCACCATTTGGCTTGACTGCAGAATATGCTCATCCCGTGGAAGTAATGTCTCTTGGTTTCGGGACGGTTGGGTTCCCAATCATTTATGCATACATAGCCAAATATCAGCCTTCGCTTGACCTACCCTCCTTGCATTTATTCACTCTCTCCTTCTGGATAACCTTGAGGCTCTTTCAGGCAGTAGATTCTCACTCTGGTTACGACTTCCCATGGTCTTTACATAACATTTTACCCTTCTGGGCCGGGGCTGACCACCACGACGACCACCATCACTATTTTATAGGTAATTATGCCAGTTCCTTTCGTTGGATTGATTATTTTATGGGAACTGAAAGTGGTGAGATTGCGAAAGCCAATAGAGAAAAGCGTATGAAAAGAAGAGCAGAAATTCAGTCTAAGAAAACTCAATAAATAATTAATAGGCCCAATACAATATTATATATAAATTTACGTGTTATAGCATTATATCATCTTATGACCCATCATACTTGTAGTCAAAAACAATACAAAATAATCAAAGCAGCAATCACTACACACGAATAAACCATCCAGCATTCGTAGATATTTAGCAGCAATATGTTAGTCTTATGCGCAACCATAAAGCTCACCCTAATAGGGACAAAGAACTTTCTTTGTTGCAATTAGGGTCCCTACCCTGTTATATATTGTACCATGTGATAATGAAAAAATCGGACTGTCTTTTACGGAACAGATTGTCGAGCGAGGTTTTGTGTAATTTTCTAGCAAAAGCTGATTTTCTCAACGATGCTCTCGCTACAATAAAAAAAATGTTATAGTGAAAAAAGTCTATTTGCTTGTATAGGTGCCATATACATTTGGAATATCAACAGTAAGGTATGTGACTTCATAATTATAGCATGAGATAGATGTACATGATTATAGACTCCTAATGAGAATGAATGAAGCAATTAGAGCAAGAAATAAGTGAGAAATTAATAGTGGAAATTGACATTAAGGCATGAAAAATCAATGAAGATATCGTGTGAAAAGGCACCAAGTCTTGTATGAATGACATACTTGTATGAGATGAAAGGAGAGGATGTAACATTCGAGTGTAGTGTACATTATTCTTCTTAAGCAAAGTTTCAAGGACATACATGTCAAAACCATGCACTTATAGTAAGTCCGAGTAACGGATATAGTTCATAGATGAGGGAATGAAGAGGTGCAAATGCGTGATGAATGCCCAAGTGAAGTTGGAAAGTCTTTATTTAGAGAAATAATTTTTGTACATACATTTCGATGCGTGAAAAATTTTGATGAGAAATTATTTTCATTAAAGTGAACAAGTTATACTAACCCATTTAGAATGTCTAGATTAAACGAATATCAAGTTATCGGTCGTCGTCTCCCAACTGAATCTGCTCCAGAACCAAAGTTGTACCGTATGAGAATTTTTGCTCCAAACACTGTTGTTGCTAAATCTCGTTACTGGTACTTCTTACAAAAATTACACAAGGTCAAGAAGACCCTTGGTGAAATCGTTTCCGTTAACACCATCGCTGAAAGCCACCCAACCAAGGTTAAGACTTTCGGTGTCTGGATCAGATACGAATCTAGATCTGGTATTCACAACATGTACAAAGAATACCGTGACGTTACCAGAGTTGGTGCTGTTGAAACCATGTACCAAGATTTAGCTGCTAGACACAGAGCTAGATTTAGAAACATTCACATCTTAAAGGTTGTTGAATTAGAAAAGACTGAAGATGTTAAGAGACAATACGTTAAGCAATACTTAACCAAAGACTTGAAATTCCCATTACCTCACAGAATCCAAAAATCAAAGAAGTTATACCAAGCTCAAGTTCCATCTACTTTCTACTAAGCTAATTGTAATGTTGTTTATTATTTTTACTTGCTGGTTGTAATTTTAAATTGGTTGTAATTATTGAATTTGGATATAATTTTAACTCTACTTATATAAAAAATATATGTGATTTATATTAATTATTTACTCGGTTTAAGCCTTTTTTGTATGATAGTGGCTCACTTCTAAAATTTAGTAGGACAAAATACATCAACACTTTCTCACCCCTTAGATTAGAATTGTTTTTATTTTAATAATTATCATTTACTGCTTATAATGTCTTACGGATCTAAGGCTGCTGAACGTGTTGCCAATAAGATTGTATTAATCACTGGTGCTTCATCTGGTATTGGTGAAGCAACTGCCAAAGAAATTGCATCTGCTGCCAACGGTAATTTAAAGTTAGTGTTGTGTGCTAGAAGAAAAGAAAAGTTGGATTATTTATCTAAAGAATTGACTGAGAAATATCCGTCTATTAAAGTACATGTGGCTCAATTAGACGTATCTAAGCTCGAGACTATCAAGCCTTTTATCGATAATCTACCAGAAGAATTTGCCAACGTTGACGTATTAGTCAATAATGCGGGTTTGGCTTTGGGTAGGGACGAAGTTGGAACCATTAAAACAGATGACATGTTATCAATGTTCCAAACTAATGTTTTAGGGTTGATTACTATCACGCAAGCTGTTTTGCCAATCATGAAAAAGAAGAACAGTGGAGACATAGTTAACATAGGCTCAATTGCTGGCAGAGACTCTTATCCTGGAGGAGGCATTTATTGTCCTACTAAAGCAAGTGTTAAGTCATTCTCCCAAGTTTTAAGAAAGGAATTGATTAATACCAAGATTAGAGTTCTTGAGGTTGATCCTGGTAATGTAGAAACTGAATTTTCCAATGTTAGATTTAAAGGTGATTTAGAAAAGGCAAAGCAGGTTTACGCAGGCACTGAACCATTATTATCTGAGGATATAGCTGAGGTTATAGTATTCGGGCTTACAAGAAAACAAAAGACTGTTATTGCTGAGACATTAGTTTTCTCAACTAACCAGGCAAGTGCTTTCCATTTATACCGTGAAAGCGATAAATAATTTTAGAATTAGTTTTTGAATAGACATTATAACACATATTATATATAGCATGTTAATTGGGCACTCGAGCATCATTAACAGCTTCATTATGTCAGAATATCCATGGATACTTAAGTGCGAAAAAAAGGGTGTAGATCCAACCCCAGTATTTACATATTTAAAGTTCTTTTAGTTAATTCTTACCACAAGATGTCGTTTGGAGCTAAGGCTGCTGAACGTTTAGCCAACAAGGTTATTTTAATCACTGGTGCCTCGTCAGGCATTGGGTCGGCAACTGCTAGAGAATTAGCTGCCGCTGCAAATGGTAACCTTAAACTTATCTTGACTGCTAGAAGGGAGGACAGGTTAAAAAAATTATCCAGTCTGTTAATGAACGATTTCCCATCACTTAAAATACACTCTGCTAAACTAGATGTTTCCGTTACCAATTCAATCAAGCCATTTATCAGTGGCCTACCAGGAGAGTTTTCAGATATTGATGTTTTAATCAATAATGCAGGTAAAGCATTAGGAAAGGATGAAATCGGTGAGATAAAGGAAGAAGATATTCAGGGGATGTTTCAGACTAATGTTTTAGGGTTGATTGGATTGACACAAGCTGTCATTCCTTTATTCAAGAAAAAGAATAGCGGAGATATTGTGAATATCGGTTCGGTAGCTGGGAGAGAAACCTACCCTGGAGGCGGTGTCTATTGTGCGACCAAAGCTAGTGTCAAGTACTTTTCTCAAGTGTTAAGAAAGGAATTAATAAACACCAAAATTAGAGTTCTTGAAGTTGATCCAGGTGCTGTAAACACTGAATTTTCTTTAGTTAGATTTTATGGTGACAAAGCTAAAGCTGATGAAGTATACGAAGGGGTTGAACCCCTTTTAGGCGAAGATATCGCTGAAGTTATTGTCTTCGGTCTTACTAGAAAGCAAAAGACAGTTATTGCTGAGACTTTAGTTTTCCCGACTTACCAAGCAGGATCAGCTAACATTCATAAAGGCCCTCTTGAATAATAAATATGAATGCAAATGTTATTAGTACTAAATATTCTATAGACTATAATTTCAGAAACTCAACTGTTCTAAGGTCTTTGTTAACTTTGCTGCACCATCCACTGCAGTGTTATTGTCAACACTAACTTTTGCTCTATTCATTTCTAGTCCTGCTAATAATACACAAGCTTTGCAAATTTTGTTTGAAGTTAAATACCCACAATTTTCACATCTATTACCGTCCTTGAATTCTCTTCCACCAAGTGATATTGATCCATCAGAATTGACCTCTTTCTCATCATTGATTTGAGACTTTTTCTTGTTTTTATATTGTTGAGTTGGCCTTTTCTTTTTAGGCGCTAAGGCCAAATGCTCACCACTATAGATAATATCCATAATACAAGAAGGCCTTATCGCTTCTAATGATTTTAACAACTCCCTTGCTGTGCCTCTAAAAGCCTCTGGTGCATAAGAACATTCAGTTGAGAAATAATCTAATTTCTTATAATGGGCGTATAAAACAATCTCCTTTTGGTATGAATATTTAAATGGTTTCGATCTCTTAATGGGAGAGCCCGCTGACTGAGTCAATATGGTACATGACTTTTCTAATCTTGCTGTATCACCACGTAATAAGTTCATCAAAACTGTTTCCGCCATATCATCTGCATTATGACCAGTAACAACATGATTTATTCCCAACTTAGCTGCACCTCTGTCCAATGCTTGTCTTCTTAAAACACCACAATATGTACATGAGGATCTAATACCAGCACACGAAACAATCTCATCCATGGACCAATTATATAAATCTTTATAGGATATAATTTCTAAAGGCATACCATACTGTGCTTGATTCCTTTTAACTGTAGCCAACGAGTCATCTCTGTAACCTTTGATACCCTCATCAATAGATAAAAGAACAAGTTCTAACTGATAGTCGTATCTTTCATTCAAAGTCTTTAAAACAGATGCTAGAACCGTGGAGTCTTTTCCTCCCGATGCACCTATCGCAACCTTATCTCCAGGCCGGAACAAGTTAGCGTTAGTTATAGTATTGTGTATTTCAGTTTCAAAAACATTATAGAAACATTCTTTGCATAATTTTTGAAGATTTTTAGGTCTTTTCATTACTGCCTTACGACCATTACAAAGTTCACATAAAGCTGAAAGCTTAACCTTCTTGCCTGTTACTTTTTCTCCTGGCATCTTATTTTCCTTGAAATATTAGTTACTTAGCCTTATAATCAGTATAGTTGATATATCTGTTCTACTATTTATAATGCCATAAAGAAAAAAAAAAATTCTAAACCTCATTTCTTGCGGCTGAACTTTATTAGCGATAAAAAAGAACTATGTATACAATATCTGTATATTTAATTAAAACTAAAAGAACAATATTGGGTTATAAATTAAATAAAAATTAGACTATGATATGTAATAATCATCAGCATCTTTTATAAACACCATTCATCGTTATCATTATCATCAAATCTATGAATCAAAAGTATACCTCAATCTTTCTATGCAGAGAAGCCATGCAAAATAGGAATGATAGTAGGAAAGAAAAGTTAATTTGTACAAAGGAAGTTTCAAACTTAAGCAGTGGTTTGGAATTCATCATTGTTAGCGTTAACGTTAGCATATCTGAATCTGTTGTTTTCCTCGTGCAATAATTCTTTTTGTTCCTTTTGTTGTTGCTGTTGCTGTTGTTGTTGCTGTTGTTGTTGCATTGGTTGTTTTCTGCTGTAACCATTAGAAGCGGTCTTCTCGTTCTTTTCTGTTAATAAGCCAACCTTTTCATTCATAACAATAGCTAATTCTTGTAACTTCGTTCTTTGGTGATCATTAGTTATGAAGTTAACGAAGCTGTTAGAATCATCTATAGAACCATTGATATCTCCAGATTGAATCATCTTATCAACTATAGAATATACGGTTTCATTTTCAATATCGAAAATAGCTGACAACTTGGCAATAGATAATTTAGTGTAAATGGATTTGTAAGTAAAGATGTAAGTTCTTAAACCTTCAACTTGCAATTGTTTTTTCATCATAGATAATAGTTGTTCATTATCTGGGAAAAGTTTCCAAATCTTAATAGAAGACAACAACTTGTAAGCCTTGGCCCAGTCACCTTTTTGCAATGCTATGGAAGCATGAACAACATGGTCCTTAATACTTTCTGGTGGACCAGTAAAGTATTGTCTTTCATGGAAATCCAACTTGCTCTTGAATGATTTAAGAGAAGCCTTACGCTTAGAATCCTTTGAGGAGCTAGAAACTGCAGCCATAGCTGGAATTTCTATTAATAAAGAGCTGGTCATGAAAACACATTCCAATAATTCTAAATTAATGTGCATATGGAATGGTAATAACTTTTGCTTTTCGGCAGTGGTAGCTTGGCTTGGATATTTGGAGTTGAAACCTTGACCTAACAATTCCTTTAATCTTTGAGAATTAGCAATTTCATTTAATGCTTGGTGAGACTCTTCAATAACACCAGCCTTGAAAGCACTTAATCCTAATTGCACCAATGCTCTATTATACATGACTTGCAACGAAGATTCAGAATTATGAATAGTACTATAAATATGGGATGATAAGAATAAGTCCCTGGCTTTAGCATATTGGTTGTTAATTGCATAATAGTAAATGTTACATAACAATGCGTTTTTACCATAGATGGACTTGGCATTTTGGGTCAAGAAGTCGGCTAAACCATCAATTAAAGCACTTGGTTCAGAATTTCTTGCAACAATGGTTGAATCAACGTTGGCGTCAATATTCTTCCATGCTTCAGTTTCATTAGCAACTATCAATTGATTTGGCTTATAATGGATATGGTCTAATCTTCTCATTACAATTCTGAATAATTGTCCAGCTTCGTGTTTTGATCTTATTTCTACTGGTGTAGTAGACTCGATGTATAATTGACCTCTCACAATCAATTTGTAGATAATGCTTTCGTCCTTTAATCTTTCGATATATTCAATAGAATGAGGATCAGAGTATTGTAAAGATCTTGTAAATTCATCATCTAATCTTTCAATCAAGGAGGCAATAGATCCAAATATAACCTTGACACCATCATCGTTAGCAGTAGGTTCAATGTCAATATCATCGGTAACTGTACCTAATTCAGAAACTTGGTATTCTTTAGACTTTGATTTTAATAATTCCAATAAAGAATTAAGGTCAGCTTCGTTTTTCTTCCATTGATCAATCGGCATGAATGATTGGTTAGAAGAAGCATCGAATCTGATTGACAATAACATTTGATAAATAGAAATTAATTCGAATGGAGTACCAGTAGACACGGTATCCTGTAACAATTCTTCTAAAGTTTGGATTTGTTCAAACTTGTCGATGTTTTTCTTACCACGAGTTTCCGAAATTTGCTTTAAAGTTGTGAAGATTGGACTGAAAGTCTTGACACCTACAGAAGTAAACGCGTTTGAGTCTTCATCACCATTTTGTTGAGGAGCACCAGCAATAATGCTTGAAAGACCTTCCAATGGTTCTTCTGTATCAAACAATTCTGGTTTAGATCTGAATAAGTCCATGTGAGGTTGGTATTCTTTAATTTGTTTCTTAACTCTTTGTCTTACAGTATTAAAAGCTCTCGAGTAAGTGGCATTCATCTTCTTCGTAGATTCTTTTTCGTTGGTAATGGTTTCATTGATGTAATCTTCCAAATTGGCCAAGCACTTTATATAAAAGTTTGGAGTACCAATTTTTTGTTGTCCTACTTTTATTAACAAACGACCCAACTTTTCGAATTCTGCTAAGATATTAGTCCAATTTCCAACTCTCTTTGCTGTATTAATGGATTCAATTGAGTCTCTCATATCGTCTAATAATTTATCTTTTGCGGATTTAACAACCTTTCTACCTTCATCATCACTGTCTGAATCTGAATCATTTCTAGAACCTTTCATAAAATCTTTCTTTAAAAAGTAAGATGGACCTGTTGGTGCTCCATCCGAATCTGAATCACTAGACTCTTCATCAGAGTCATTACCGAATTCAGAATCTGATGAGAAATTATCTTCTTCGGATTCAGATGAAACTAATTCTTCTTCAGAAGAACTCAACAAGTCTTCTTCTTCCGATGACGAATCAGAAGGATAGCCTGAAACAAAGAAACGAGACATTTTACTTATTTCAATGATTTAAAATGCCGTTGTCTTGATTTTATATGACAGTTTGTACCTTTAAATCAAATTTTCCAACGAACGATGGTTTAAAACGCACAAAAAAATTTCAGAGATAATTTTCGTGTGTATACTGTTATTTACACGCATGTACCTTATATTACCCTAGATTAAGTCCTAACTACTAATCACCATAAACTACATGGAGTACTACATACCTAATTGTCAACTTTGTAGCTTCTAACTTTCAGAAACTTAAATGCCTTTTCGTTCTTGAGAGGGAATTCCGTTTGCTCGCCCTCTCTATCATCGTTTGGACTCATTTTTTTACGGATAGCGTAATATGTTATCCAATTTAGCTTGCTATGTTTGAATATACCACCCAATGATTTAATCTGGAAATGATAATGGAAGTTGTAATATGGAACAGAACCTTCATTTATTTCAATGTGGATCTCGCCGGTAGTTGACATAGTCCACTTTCCATGATATATATTATGGCTCTCTTTCGTAGGAACTGGGGCATTTGCCAATACTGTTTTAGCTCTTGGATCTGCAACAGTTGGAATAAGACTCTTTTGTGTGTTGTATTTCAGTAAGTTTGGAATTACTTTGTTAGGCTCCAACGTCGATAGAACCTTGACGCATGTTCCATCGGGATAAAACCGTATGTATCTGTAGTACGTAATGGTCTTGACAGGATTAGACCAACTACTAGAAAATTCTGCCTTTCCCCCTTCGCTATAGTAGTTGACGACACTTATGTAGCAGCCATAAAACTTGACAAATGGCCTGTTACGTAACATGTACTTCCAAGAGTTTTGATATTGGGGTAAAATCGACAACTGATCATGTGGCACAGGTAACGAAAGATCTTTAGGCATATCTAACGTCTGCATTGACTCCAAGTACAACTTATTTTCATAATAAACCTGTTGTGGATAAATCAAATAGCATAACTTTCTCCAAATATTTTTTGACCCCAAACCAAGATATGCGTTCTTTTTACATGTTATTGAAAAATTAAACCATGATTCTGGATTCGTTGTTAGAAGTATTTCAAATATATGCATCCATATATCGTTTGGTAAATGCATTAATGGCGAAATTGGTTGTATATTCTTCATAGAATCCTCATTCAAGTCTAAATTTTCAAACTTAATGGTCACCATTTCATCTTGCTGATGCTCTGGATTGAATGGATCTGGTGCATGAGCTTCAGCGTTAGCAAATGATTCAAGTAATGCATCAACATCAATGGATCGCACCCTAGCTTCATCTACTCGTTTAGCAATATTTTTGCCCCCTTCTTGTTTCAATTTGTAAACATTATGAGGTACTCGTTTAGTCCTATATAACAAATCCACTTTTTCATTTATCCGAAAGGCCTTTCTGTAGAATTCCACTGCATCCGACATAGATCCATGAGACTCTTTCTCAATTCCTTTCTCAAATAATGTTATTGCTTCATTATCTTTAGCTGATAAACTTGCCTGCAGCTTAATATGAGAACCAACTTCATTCTGTAAGCTAACATCAATCAAAGAAGTCCCACTACTCATTCTGCTACTAATAACTCTCTTCACAAGCTAAATTCTTGTTGCATTATACTGGGTTCTTTCAACTTAGCATTCGATTTATCTAATTGAGATTATATTATATGCAGTATGATGGATTTTGCATTATCTATATATATTTTAATATGTTATCTAATTCAACAAATCATCTAAGAAATCCTGATCTTGCAATTTCTTTGGCTCCTGATGGATTGGCTTCTGATTCTGCATTTGCTTCTGATTCTGCATTGGATCACTATTCTGACTTATGCTATCAATTTTTGGAGCCCGAGACTTTTTATCGTTAGAAATACTCAAACTTGATAAGAAACTATCTATATTGTCATTATGCTGTAATTTTTCAGGTTCATTGTACAGTGTTTCATCATTCGATTTGAAATCTCCTAATAATATATCAATATCGTCATCTAGTTCGTTATCGGCAATGACGGGCATGCTCAGGTCATTATTGATCAATTTGGAATTTAAATTCCTCAACTGGTCTGAATCATTTGCATTAAAGTTATTTATCTCTATCACTTTTGACTTAGCATTTGGATCTGTATCTGAAATATTGAACCTTGTCTTTATTTGATTGTAGAATTTATTCTGTTCCGATTTTGCAGCTCTTTCGGCATTTTCTTTAATTTCTTCTTCCGTTAGATTTCTTAGCGTATGATTATTTTGATAAGGTGCCTTAGATTTGTCAACAAACGAGGACTCTCCGATCCTGAACCCATCTAGTTCATTAGCAGGAATTTTGTCAATGTTGCGACGTTCCTTATTCGAGTAGTATGGCAGGTTGTAATCATTTATGTCTTTTGTAACGGTATCAGAATATCTTTCTATTCCGTATTCTTCCAAAAGATTATCATTCATTCTATTTTTGGGTAACTTCCTATTCTTTTTGGCCTTAGTTACTACTGGATCTTTAGATACATATTCATCTAATTTTGTCTTATGTTCTTTTGCATAATTGTCTCTATTTCTACTTTCTTCTGATCCAAGATAAATACCATCAGGTTTATCGTTGTTGTTTTCTATTTCACTCTCCTCTTCCGTCTGATTCTCTTGTTGTTCGACAAGATCCTGCAAGATCTGTTGCTTAATCTTTTCTTTCTGTTCTCGAGTTAACTGTTGTTTGCCGATTTCTGGATAGTACTGATTTAAGAGTTCTTCATCCTCCTCTGAGTCCCATTCACTGTCACTGTCTTCAAGAATTATTTGTTGATTCGTAGTACCAGGTCGCTTAGAGGACCATTTAGGTCTTTGTTCTGAATCACTAGGAGGAGGTCTTTTTACCAATCCATGTTTCTTTAAGTACTTGGTTTTCGCTTTCCTGTCCCATTTAGAGTTCTTCAATACCATATCTTGCAATTCAATATTTCATGCATAAGCCTTTATTAGAGATTAAAGATCACAATAAATTAGGCTCACAAAATTTATGCTCGCCGTCGTTAAATGTGTTTCAATTTCATTAATCAATATCTAAATACTAAATCTCAGTAAATAGAAATGGCTGGAGAAGATAAGAAAGATCCTCCCAAGTCCATTGAGGACTTGATGAAGCTTTTGTCTATGGGTGAATCGTTAAGCGAACCCCAACAGAAACAAATGAAAGACTATAAATTTTGGAAAACCCAACCAGTTCCTAGCTTTGATGAAAAAGTTGATTCGGAGGGACCAATTGACCAGACTAAAACACCAGATGATATTCCTGATAAGCCATTACCGTTGCTTAGTGATTTTGAATGGAGCACAGTTGATTTAGAAGAGATTGAACAATTGGACGAAGTTTATAAGCTTTTGTATGAGAACTACGTTGAAGATCAGGACGCAACTTTCAGATTCAAATATTCTCACGAATTCTTTAATTGGGCTTTGAAACCTCCAGGATGGCGTAAAGAGTGGCATGCCGGAGTACGTGTTAAAGAAACTGGAAAGTTGGTGGCATTCATAGCTGCCATTCCTATAACTTTGAAATTGAATAAATCTCAAAAGGTTATTCCTAGTGTTGAAATTAATTTCTTGTGTGTTCACAAAAAGTTGAGATCAAAGAGATTAGCACCCGTCATGATTAAAGAAATCACCCGTAGAGTCAATAAATGTGACATTTGGCAAGCGTTATATACTGGCGGTGTCGTTTTACCATCTCCAGTCGCAACTTGTCGTTATACACATCGTCCAATAAATTGGTCCAAATTATACGATGTTGGCTTTTCTCACTTGCCAGCTAACCAAACCAAAGCTGGAATGCTTGCAAATTATGCTTTACCAAGTGCTACTAAAACCCAAGGTTTACGTACTATGAAAATTGAGGATTTGGATCAAGTCTACGACTTATTACATAAATTTCAAGAGAAATTTGATATTGTTCAGGTATTTGAAAAGGAAGAACTTTCGCATTGGTTATTAGGTGGTAAATCAACAGACTCCTCGTCTAAAGTTATCAAGAGTTACGTTGTTGAAAACTCTGAAGGCATCATAACCGATTTCTTTTCGTACTATTTATTGCCTTTCACTGTATTGGATAATCCATCGCACGATGAATTAGGTATTGCTTATTTGTACTACTATGCTTCTGATGCTGCCTTCAAAAATGAGGATGAATCAGTATACAAACAAAGATTGACTTCTTTGATAAGCGATGCCCTCATTACTTCTAAAAAATACAATGTTGATGTTTTCAATTCTTTGTCTTCCCAAGACAACCCATACTTCATCAAAAATTGTAAGTTTGGAAGTGGTGATGGATTTTTGAATTATTATTTATTTAATTACAAGACTTGGCCTATAGCTGGAGGAATTGATCCTCAAACCAAAGAAATCGTTGAAGATAAGAGTAGTGGTGTTGGTGTTATTTTATTGTAACCTCTGATTACTTATATTATCATGATAATCTTTGACATGCTTCATCTATTTATAATGTATTATAGCTACTTATATAGTTGCAGCAGTAGAGTATCTGAATTTTACAGTTTAACATAGTTTACAGGTTTTTGATTTTTTTTTTTTACTGCTGAAAAATATTGTGCAGCCTCATCTCAAGAAGATGAATAGATTCCTAATCATTAAAGCTTTGAAGAAAACATAATTTATAAACTTTAGTAGAAAGGATGATTTCTTCAAGTTGTTGGGTACCAAGAGGGTTTGCCTCAGAATTTCCGGAAAAATATGAGTTGAATGATGAAGAAATGGAGAGAATTACTGCAATGGCTAACCTTGAATTAAACGACGCTAAAGAGGGATTGGAAGAAGCCCAAGACGAAGAATCTGAAGGAAAGAAGACCAGCCAATTGAAAGACCAAATCGAATTAGATGACGATTTAAAAGAATACGATTTGGAAAACTATGACAATGAAGACGATGGAACCGGAGGTGAAAATATAACCATGTTCCCAGGTTTATCAAACAGTGACGCTAAATACCACCAAGGTGACGACGGTGAAAACGATGCATACTTGAGCTTACCAACCGAGGTTGATCTTCAAGAAGAAAAAAAAGAGTCTCAAATATATCCAACTGATAACTTAGTTTTGGCTACTAGAACTGAGGATGACATTTCGTATCTTGATGTTTACGTCTACGATGACGGTGCAGGTGCTCCTGAAGGCGCTGATGAAGAAGAAGAAGATAAATTCGATGCGGACGTCGCAAAAGGATTGGTGAGAGATTCCAACTTATATGTTCATCACGATATAATGTTACCTTCATTCCCATTATGTGTTGAATGGATCAACTATAAACCAGGCCAGACTAATATTGAAGAAAACGATAGCAATGTTGGTAATTTTGCTGCAGTCGGTACTTTTGATCCTCAGATTGAAATTTGGAACTTGGATTACATAGACAAGGCATTCCCAGATTTGATCTTAGGTGAACCACAGCAAAACTCTTTTACCGCTTTATCTAAAAAGAATAAGAAAAAGAAGAAGTCAAAAAATCATGTTACTACTCATCATACTGATGCTGTCTTGTCATTAGCACATAATAGAACTCATAGAAATGTATTAGCATCTACTTCAGCTGATCATACCGTTAAATTATGGGATTTAAACAACGGTACGGCTGTCAGATCATTGAACAATATCCACGCTAACAAGACCGTTTCCTCTTCCCAATGGCACTCCCAAGAAGCATCAATCTTATTGACTGGTGGGTATGATGGTACTTGTGGTATAACTGATGTTAGAATTTCGGACGAATCACAAATGACAAAGAACTATAAAGTAGCTAATGGTGAAGAAGTTGAAAACGTTAGGTGGGGACACATACCAGAAATTTTCTATGCTGGTACTGATAATGGTAATATCTACTGCTTTGATGTTAGAACAGTCGACAAACCTTTATGGACTTTACATGCCCATGATGCAGGAATTTCATCTTTAGATGTTAATACTCATGTTCCTGGAATGTTGATAACTTCTGCTATGGGTGAAAAAGTTGTAAAACTTTGGAAATGTCCAACAGAGGGTAGCAAGGGTCCTTCAATGGTCTTATCGCGTGATTTTGGTGTTGGTAACGTTTTAACATCTTCTTTTGCTGATGATATTGAAGTCGCAGGAAACTTGACTATTGGTGGTGTCAGTGGTGCATTAAAGATGTGGGATACATTTTCAAATAGATCGGTTCGTAACTCGTTCCGTGATGAATTAAAGCAATTACAAGTTAAAGCTAGAGCTTCAGCAAAAGATCAAGGCAGAGCTTCCAGACTTGCTAGAAAATATCAAAATGACTCCCATAAAGAAAATGTTATGAGTGTTGAAGCAGGTGACCTAGATGATTCTGATTCTGATGATGCCGATGCTGCTCATGATATGGAAGAAGATGAAGATTGAGACATGCATTATATCAAATTTTATATTATTTAATTGCGTATATTTAGTTGTATAGAATCAATAATAGTATGATTTTTTAATTTATGAGAACTGTAGAGACTATATCTTAATAGTAATTACTGTAAAATGGATACTTAATTCTCATGCTAAAGTATGTAAATTTATCTTTTCAACCATATCAGAAATTCGGTCCCTTGGCCCAGTTGGTTAAGGCGTGGTGCTAATAACGCCAAGATCAGCAGTTCGATCCTGCTAGGGACCATTTCTCTTAAAACACATCGGGCGTGTGGCGTAGTTGGTAGCGCGCTCCCTTAGCATGGGAGAGGTCTCCGGTTCGACTCCGGACTCGTCCAAA